CTAGCGAATCATCAATTTCATCAATTTTGGCTTTAAAATATTTTTCTCTTTTGTTCCACAGAAGTCTTTTGTAACTCTGCAGACAGTCTGAATAGGAGAGCCGTAATGTCTGGCTGGACGGGTCTCTGTGCTTTCTGTTAGAGAGTCTCCTCAGCTCTTTCCTGAGACCTGCACATTCGTCATCGAACCAGACATCCTTTCTCATTCTCTGTTGATTTGTTTTATGTGTGCTTTGCGGTTTAATGTTAGATAGAGTTATTAATGTTTTGAATATGCAATTTAAGTTTTTAGTTGCTAGATTTATTCCATTAATATCTAGAGTGAAATCGGTGGACATAAATTCATCCAACATGTTTAATATTGTAGGACTGTTCATGTTTTCTTTGAATTGATCCGAGTTGGATTGATTCCATTTAAGTTTAGGTTTCAGAGGAAACAGTTTTTCAGATTCGAGTGGAGAAGTTTGAGTTATTTCACACGGGGGTTTCAGATAAAGCACAGTTTGGCAGTGATCAGAGATCGGGAGCTGAGGTCTGACTGTGAAGGCATTAATAAAGCTTGGGTCAATATCTGTTATTGAGTAATCTACCACACTGGATCCTAATCTGGAGCAGTAAGTGAATCTACCTAACGTATCTCCACGAGTTCTGCCGTTGAGGATGTAGAGTCCTAAACCTTTACAGAGTTTTAACATTTGTTTTCCATTAATGTTCACTGAGTTATCATAGCTATTTCTCTGTGTCATATTCAATGAGGGATGAAACGTGGTGTTATTGAGGACGTGGTCATTATCTACAATATTTACATAATCAATTTCTCGCCCTGTTCTGGCGTTGAAGTCTCCACAGATGAGGACATTTCCTCTGGACTGGAAGTGTAAGATGTCAGCCTGTAGTGTTGGGAAGCTCTGCTCTTCGTAATAGGGAGAGTCATGCGGTGGGATATAGATGGCACAGAGGTAAAGATTGGACAGTGGTATGACGGATTTCACTTCAAGCCAAATAGATGATTTACAAATTTTAGCAATTTTAATCAAATGTTTTAAATCGTCTTTGTGCCATATAAGTATTCCACTTGAGTCTCGGCCGCATTTTATTTTAGAATTTTTTGTTGAAGGAACTATAATTTCCTTATATCCTATTGGACAGTGTAACGCCTCATTACTACGACACCACGTCTCATGAAAGATACAGACGTCCATGTCTCTTACACTGCTGAGTAAGTCTTGGTCTGCAGTCTTATTACCAAAAGTAGAAGAGTGCAGACCTTGTACATTCCAACAACTGATTTTAAAAGATTTCATGGATAAGTTCATCTGTAAAGTGTGTGTGTGTGTGTGTGTGTGTGTGTGTGTGTGTGTTATGTAGGTTATGTCCTCAGTCTGGAGCAGATGATGTTTAGCAGATGTCTTATCTGGTTGAGTTCGGCCGCTGCAGGGTTCTGGGGTTGTTGAACGGCCGCAGCGTAGCTCCTGTGTTGTGATGGAGGTCCGGGGGCCGGTCTGTGCTCTGCTGGTGGACGAGGGCTTCTCTGTGTTGTGTAGCTGTTGTGTTGTGATGGAGGTCCGGCGGCCCGTCTGTGTTCTGTTGGAGGACGAGGGCTTCTTGGTGGCTGAGAGCTTCTCTTGTTGTTTCTTGCTGTGTTTCCAAGGGCTGTGCTTTTCAGCACTCTGGCGAAGACTTTCACTCCTTGCTTATTGAGATGTACGTGGTCGTACATATGATGAGGCTGTATGTCCTTGTGATGGGCGAGATGAACATTAGGGATGAGTGCGCAGCTTCTGGAGAGTTCCACATTATTCCCGTGGATCACGTGGAACGGCACGTCGGAGCGTGGCAGCAGTGTGGACAGAGTTATCCTGGCCTCTGGGAAACGCTGTGTGGCTCTGATCGCCACCTCTCTCATCACAGGAGCCACATGGCCCTTCATGGCCCTTAAGTCATTTGTCCCTGTGTGGATAATTATGTGCTTGTAGTTTTCATGTGGGTTTCTGTCAGACAGGATCTGAAAAGCACTTCTTGTGTTTGGACACCAGATTTTCTCGGCTCTCATGTTTGGCAATAGAAGTTTCTCACTGATATATTTCCCATTGGAGTCAGTCAGGATAAGAGCGTGTGTTTCCCTCGGGTCCTGTGCAGCAGCGCTGTGGATCTGGGATGCTGGGTCAGTCGAGCAGTGAGGCTGTTCTTCCACTGGTGTTTGTTCAGGTTGAGGATTTTCCATGTGCATCTCTGGAGGAATCAAGGGTGTAGCAGGAGACTCTGTAGGTGCTGAGACAGAACTGAGTCTTTCTTTTAGGCTGATGATGAGTTCATCTTTGGTATGAAGAACTGACTTCAAGGTAGAGAGCTCCTCCTGCATTTCTTTTCTAACGTCTGTTAGTTGTCTTCCTAAAGTGGATTTTACTTCCCTCAGTTCATCTTTAGTTTGCTGAAGTTCTTTTGACATTTCTTCTCTGTCTCTCTGGAGATATTCAACTTCTTGTTTTAATTTCTTTATGTCAATAGTCACTTGTTCCATGTTGAAGTCTTTCAGGTGGGACAGTATTAACTCTTTTATCTCCACAACTTCTACTTCCAGAAGTGAAAAATTGTCTCTCATTCTTGAAATTGGAGATGGAACTGCAGTTGCTGAAGTCACTGTCATCTTTTGGACTGATTTTCCAGGGGAGTCATCAATATTTGGATTCTTGTCCACATCATCAGACAGTGCCAGTGTTTTTATTAGTTCGAAATCTTCAATGAAGACCTTGAGAGCAGACTCTGATCCCTGGATCATGACAGTGCCATTTTGATACAAGTTGAGGGTTAAAAATCTTGTTTCATCATTTTTGTCAGCGTCTTCAAATGCTAAGATCTGTCTGCCTTTACAGATGCCTCTTTTCTTCACAAAGGTGAGATGCTGACAGAAGGCTGTGTGCCATAAAGGGCTGTGTTCAGTGTAAAAGAGTAGGTTGTTCATGGCACTGTGGTCATGTAGATCCGCAAACAGTGTGTCAGGGCTCTCCTTCATCTGCTTGTGTCTGAGCATCAGCCTGGAGTGCTCAGAACTCTTCTGAGGGTAGATGAAGGGGCGGGGCCAAGATGATGCGCTGGCCATCCTTGATTTAGAATGTCAACAACCAACTGAAAATAACTGCCACTGTTTTGAATTATTTTGTTTTCATCTCTCAGTGAAGATATAAAATAGGCAAAAATTAGCAAATAAGCCAAAAAATTGTAAAAATATGACTTTCACTGATCACTTTACAATTCCAGTTGTGTCCAAAATGTCCAAAATATTTTTCTGTGCAGTTCTTTCAGACAAAAATCAGGCAAAAGTCCAAAGAGAGCACTGTCCACTTAAAATATCTTTACCTCTCTTTTTCTGCAAGCTTTCTTATAGTTGTTGTTGATTGTTGCTTGATGTTATCCTTTTCAACCTGAATATCCACCTCTGCAGAGGGTTATCCTGTGATCAGCTTCTCTTGAACTTTTCCTCAGATTCAGGTATGACAGTGTAAAAATAAATAAATAACTCTCCAGATTCAACAAAATCTTTTAGATGTTGTCTAGATGTTGTTGTATGTTGATTTCTCTATTTTCTTTACCTCTGTTGGTAAACAAATCTTATTTTTCTTGCAAATTATCTGGAGCTCAACTCAAGTGTGACCATCTCAATGGAACTCACTCACACACACTCTCTCTCTCACACACTCTCACTCTCACATACACACTCACTCACTCACTCACTCACTCTCACACTCTCTCTCTCTCTCACTCACTCTCACACTCTCTCTCTCTCACACACTCTCACTCTCACATACACACTCACTCACTCACTCACTCACTCTCACACTCTCTCTCTCTCTCACTCACTCTCACACTCTCTCTCTCTCACACACTCTCACTCTCACATACACACTCACTCACTCACTCTCACACTCTCTCTCTCAATTCAATTCAATTCAATTGAGCTTTATTGGCATGACTGTAAAATAGCACAATATTGCCAAAGCAATACTAATATATAAACATATATATATAGATAAATAAAAGTGAAAAAAATAAAAAAAATAAACAACAACAATAAAAAAAAACATTTCCATGTTATGCATAAATATACCACAATAGATTAAAAAAAAAAGATATACAATAAAACTCTCTCACTCACTCTCACACTCTCTCTCTCTCACACACTCTCACTCTCACATACACACTCACTCACTCACTCACTCACTCTCACACTCTCTCTCTCTCTCTCTCACTCACTCACTCACACTCTGTCTCTCTCTCTCTTACTCACTCTCACTCTCTCTCTCTCTCTCACTCACTCTCACACTCTCTCTCTCACACACACACTCTCACACTCTCTCTCTCACACACACACACACACACACTCACACTCTCACACACACACTCACTCACTCAAGCTGTTTGAGCTACAGGAAGACAAATGCAACGAACTCATGAAAATGTGTAAGGGATGCCGCTATAATAACGCATACAGTCAGCTGATCGTCATCATAAACCAAAAGAGGAAAACATTTAAAAAAATCATGGAAACAGAGTTGAGCCAAGCGATAATATTAAACAAAATAATAATAATTATTATTAATCTGCAGTCAATATCTCTTGTCCTTTTTTTCTCATCTACTTTGTGCTTCTGTCCATCCGTCAAACACTTTAAAAGAAAGAAAAGACTGAAGGTGTGCGTCAGTACACGTATGAGACACAAGAGGGCAGCCATTCCCTGTGTGTGTGTGTGAGAGACCTCAGAGTATGTGTGTGTGTGTGTTAATGATTTTAATAATGTTATTAAAGGTTGAAATGAACATGAAATTAGATTAATTAATGCTGTATTTTTCATGTTAACAAATGAAACCTTGTTACCGCAATTTTAGAGCTTTAAACATATTAGGGTCAACAGAAAAGAAACGACTTCTAATAGTTTTAGTGAATAAAAGCAGTGATAATGTGACAGAATTGAGTGTGTAGTCGCTGATGTATTGTGTGTTTCAGGAAGTGATGTCAGTAGCAGATGTTATCCTGTGGGCGGCGCTCTTTCCTCTTCTGTCTGACTCGAGTTTTGAAGCTGGTGAGCTGAAGTGTGTGTGTGTGTGCGTGTGAGTGAGTGAGTGTGTGTTAAATCTCTGTCTATGGCTCTCTCTCTCTCTCCCTCCCTCAGGTGAGCTGGTGCGCGGCTGGTTCGGGCGTGTCGACTCTCTCTCCGCGTGTCGGGCGGCCGCTCACAGGATCCTGCAGGGAAACGGTGTCGAAGCGCTGAAGACGTTCCTGCAGAAACACGCGGCTCCGCTTCGGGACGCTCCCGCCACCGCTGACGTACTGCACTTCATTAGCATCTGCTTTACATGATCATTTTAAATGCTTTTTAATTTTTTTGATTGTATGTGTATATATAACAAAATGATAAAATAAAAGTATATATAGACAGAGAATGATAAAATGATAAAAATGTTATATACACACACATATATATATATATATATATATATATATTATAAAACATTTATTCAGCTTTACTTCGATTTATGTTTTTATATTTTCTGTTTTAATTTTAGTTTGTCATTTTCTTATGTGGTTTTCTAACGTTTATTAGTATTTATTTGTTAATATATTTTGATTTTTTTTAATTGATTTTTTTATTTTTTATTTATTTCAGCTTTACATCTATTACTATTTTTAATTAGGTTTTATTTTTATATTTCCTGTTTTAATTTTATTTTATGTGCTTTTGTCATTTTTATTTTTTTTGTTTTTTGTTTTATCATTTCTATATAGCTTTCAGTTAATATCCAAGACAACATTTAACATTTTTGTTTGTTTTTCTTCTAATATATATATATATATATATATATTTTATGTATTTATATTTTTTTTATTTCAGCTTTATTTCAGGTACTAATGTTTTAGTGAACGCATCCATCTAATTTCTCAAGGAAAAAATTTGAAATTATATTTAGCATAATTTAGCTTAGTTTTAGGGTTTATGAGGATTATAATAATCCTCAATTTAAGCCCCTTTAAATCAAAATGCATTAAATCTCAAATCTCACAATTCACAGTAAAATCTAAAGAAATAAATGCATTTTGATCGAAGTTTAATTGTCACGCAAGTGGCCCTAAAATAGGCTTAATTCATTCATGCAAAATATTATTTCTTATGTATGCAAAAAATAACATGTTCTTGACAGATTCATAATGTTTTAATTTTTCAGATAAAAATAAAATGCTTATTTATAATCAAAATAAGGTGATCATGAACTTTAAATATGCTCAATTTTCAGTTTGTTTTTGATGTGAAATATGACAGATTTTTATTTTTTTCACAAATCTCATATTTATGAACAGATTGCGGCTTTATTTCGTGAGATTCAGGTGTTTGGCTGAGTGCTCAGAGTAAGAGTGTGTGTTTCCTCAGGCTGAGGACGAGTGTGTGATGAGCGCGGAAGAGATCGAAGGAGCGGCGCAGGTCTGGGCTGAAGGACTCAAGGCTCGCTCTGCCGCCATCGAGAGGAAACACCCGATGTACGGTTAGGGTCACTGCACATAAACACACACATCAGTCCGGCCTCCATCTTACGCTGTGTGTTCTTCAGTCTCCCTCAGGAAGGAAAGAGAAACGTGCTGATCACGAGCGCTCTGCCTTACGTCAACAACGTGCCTCACCTGGGGAACATCATCGGGTGTGTGCTCAGCGCCGACGTCTTCGCCAGGTAACATAGTCTTGATGATGTGTTTCAGGCTCTCCTAGAACAGGTTTTCCTGCTTGAATGTTGATTATTCTCCTCATATTCTCCATTTTTGCGGCTCCTCTCGTTTACTTCCTGTCTCTATGAAGCCCCTCCTTCTGAAAATCACTCTGTGCTCTGATTGGTCAGCTGGAGCAGTGTGTTGTGATTGGTCGAGCGCTTCGACCATGTATGGAAATGTCCCGCCCCTTTCCATAACCGCCAGTTTCAACCATAGACTGTATAAAAATAAGGACGTAGTGTCCGTGACGTTGATGTTTCTGAAGAGCGTTTTTGAAGCTCCCTTCTGAAGCAAAACCATCCGTTTGTGTCAGAAAAATATGAATATTTTAAACTTACTAGCTTCCTACTAGTAAAACTTACTACCTTACTTACTAAAAATAACTAGCATCTGGCTGTAAACTACGGAGGCGTATTGCATTCACTTGAAGAAAAAAAAATTAGTTTTAATTTTAATTTTTCATGAGAAATAAAAAATTGCTCTGTTTTTCTGAATTAATGAGTTAATTTTTCATGTGAAAAAGTTTTTGCTCTGTTTTTCTGAATTAACGAGTTAATTTTTCATGGAATTTTTTTTGCTGTGTTTTTCTGAATTAATGAGTTCATTTTTCATGAGAAAAAAAATATTTTGCTCTTTTATTCTGAATTAATGAGTTAATTTTGCATGAGAAAAAAATATTTTGCTCTGTTTTTCTGAATTAATGAGTTAATTTTTCATGAGAAAAAAATATTTTGCTCTGTTTTTCTGAATTAACAAGTTAATTTTTCATGGAATTTTTTTTGCTCTGTTTTTCTGAATTAACTCCTTAATTCAGAAAAACAGAGCAAAAACTTTTTTTTCACGAAAAATTAACTAATTAATTCAGAAAAACAGAGCAAAAAAAAAATCCATGAAAAATTAACTCGTTAATTAAAAAAAAAACAGAGCAAAAAATGTTTTGTTCATGAAAAATTAACTCATTAATTCAGAAAAACAGAGCAAAAAATTTTTTTCTCATGAAAAATTAACTTTGTTAATTCAGAAAAACAGAGCAATTTTTTTTCTAATGAAAAATTAACTCATTAATTCAGAAAAACAGAGAGAATTTTTTTTTCTCATGAAAAATTAACTCGTTAATTCAGAAAAACAGAGTAGATTTTTTTTCTTCAAGTGAATGCAATACGCCTCCGTAGTAAACATTTTTTTTCTGCTGTAAAGTTAGGCATTTTAACATGCGGGTCAATGGGATTGACTCTCTTCTGCAGCCACCTCTAGTGGCCAGTTGATGAACTGCAGTTCAAGAGAGAGAGACGGGAATGTTGCCGATTGGTTTCAACGCACTCAACCAGACCCCGCCCCTTCTCCCGTGTATGATTTGATGCTGTGTTCCTGCAGATATGGGCGTCTGCGCGGCTGGAATCTCCTGTACATCTGCGGTACGGACGAGTACGGGACGGCCACGGAGAACAAGGCTCGCGAGGAGGGACTGACGCCGCAGGAGATCTGCGACAAATACCACACCATCCACGCCTCCATCTACCAGTGGTTCCAGATCGACTTCGACTTCTTCGGCCGCACCACCACTGAGCGCCAGACCGAGTGAGAACGCGCACTTAGCGAAGCCTTGTTTGTTTAATTTTATTTTTGATCAATTTTACATAATAATTTTATATTTTTATACATTTTGAAGAAAATTGACAATGTCAAAATCATTGACATCATTCACTAGTTTTAAATTTAAAAATCTAGAATTTAAAATGTTTATAAATTTAGAATTTATTAGAATTGGCAATATGTCAATATATTTATATGTTAATTCTATATTTCCTTATTAGTGTTTTTAACACACATTTGTTTATAAGTTGTACAATTTTATTTAAATATTTCAACATTTTTTACATTTAGAATTTATTCTAATTGGCAATAATGTCAATGTAATCACTGCATAAATATTTTTTATTTATTTTTTTATTTGCTGATATCAAACGCATGCATTGATTACTTTTGTTCAATTTACAAAAGGATTCATTCAAAAAGTGTTTGATACCAAAAACACTGGATTAAATTTTCTTTGGCTCTTAAAATATATTTTCTTTTTATACATGTTAATTTTTTATTAAGTTTAAATATTTTTATTTTATTTTAAATGTTTAAAAATAAGCATGCATTGATTTTTTTATTATTATTATTTTGTTCACAAAGAGTATTTGAAAACTTATTTAATTTTATTGTTTAATTTGTATTTAATTTTATTGTATGCATGAACTTATGCCATAAAACACGCCATAGATTAAATTACTTTGGATCTTACATTACATTTTCAAAATACACTCTGTGACGTTGAGTGTTTATTTGCTGGCCGGTTATGCAGTTCGATACGTTGGTTCTCTACTTATGTTATACATGAATACTTTAACACTGGAATACTGTGGCGTTGAATGTTTATATTCTATTTCCCTGTAAATCTTTCCCCAGAATCGCTCAGGATATTTTCTGGCGTCTCCACGAGAGGGGTTTCCTGCTGGAGGACACGGTCGAGCAGCTTCGCTGTGAAAGCTGTCAGCGATTCCTGGCCGATCGCTTCGTGGAGGGCGTGTGTCCTCACTGCCAATACCCAGAAGCCCGCGGGGACCAGTGTGACAAATGTGGCCGTCTCATCAACGCTGTGGAGCTCAGGGTACGGTTCGAAATCACGCGTTCCTGAACCTCACTTACAAATACATATTTTTATATATAACCTCCTACTATATCTGAAAGAGTCTCTTCTGCTCACCAAGGCTGCATTTATTTAATCAAAAATACATAACATTTTAAAAAATATTATTAGAATTTAAAAATAACTGTTTTCTATGTGAATATAGAGTAAAGTGAATCTGAAATCTGAATTAATTTAATTAAAAATACAGCAAAAATCACAAAATATTATTAGACTTTAAATCAGTTGTTTTCTATGTGAATATAGAGTAAGGTGTAATTTATTCCTGTGATCAAAGCTGAATTTATTTCTTTAAAAATACAGCAAAAATCACAAAATATTATTAGACTTTAAATCAGTTGTTTTCTATGTGAATATAGAGTAAAGTGTTATTTTTGTATTCGATCAAATCTGAATTAATTTCATTAAAATACAGTAAAAATCACAAAATATTATTAGACTTTAAATCAGTTGTTTTCTGTGTGAATATAAAGTAAAGTGTAATTTATTCCTGTGATCAAAGCTGAATTTATTTCTTTAAAAATACAGCAAAAATCACAAAATATTATTAGACTTTAAATCAGTTGTTTTCTACGTGAATATAGAGTAAAGTGTTATTTTTGTATTCGATCAAATCTGAATTAATGTCATTAAAATACAGTAATAATCACAAAATATTATTAGACTTTAAATCAGTTGTTTTCTATGTGAATATAGAGTAAAGTGTTATTTTTGTCTTCGATCAAATCTGAATTAATTTAATTAAAATACAGTAAAAATCACAAAATATTATTAGACTTTAAATCAGTTGTTTTCTATGTGAATATAAAGTCAAGTGTAATTTATTCCTGTGATCAAAGCTGAATTAATTTCATTAAAATACAGTAAAAATCACAAAATATTATTAGACTTTAAAACGGTTGTTTTCTATGGGAATATAAAGTAAAGTGTAATTTATTCCTGTGATCAAAGCTGAATTTATTTCTTTAAAAATACAGCAAAAATCACAAAATATTATTAGACTTTAAATCAGTTGTTTTCTATGTGAATATAGAGTAAAGTGTTATTTTTGTATTCGATCAAATCTGAATTAATTTCATTAAAATACAGTAAAAATCACAAAATATTATTAGACTTTAAATCAGTTGTTTTCTATGTGAATATAGAGTAAAGTGTAATTTATTCCTGTGATCAAAGCTGAATTTATTTCTTTAAAAATACAGTAATAATCACAAAATATTATTAGACTTCAAATCAGTTGTTTTCTATGTGAATATAGAGTAAAGTGTTATTTTTGTATTCGATCAAATCTGAATTAATTTAATTAAAATACAGTAATAATCACAAAATATTATTAGACTTTAAATCAGTTGTTTTCTATGTGAATATAGAGTAAAGTGTTATTTTTGTATTCGATCAAATCTGAATTAATTTCATTAAAATACAGTAATAATCACAAAATATTATTAGACTTTAAATCAGTTGTTTTCTATGTGAATATAAAGTAAAGTGTAATTTATTCCTGTGATCAAAGCTGAATTTATTTCTTTAAAAATACAAAAAAAATCACAAAATATTATTAGACTTTAAATCAGTTGAAACTGCAAGTCCACAATTCTCTGCCAGGATTCGGCAGATTTCGTCAGTCTGTAAAAATATTCCTCAGATTTCTTGTCGAATCGATTTATACAGTCGATCTCAAAGCTCTTTCCCGTTGTAGATGTGTTTTGTGTGTTTCCCACAGCATTCACACTGAAAACTAATGCTGCCACTCAGTGTGTGTTAGGGCTGTCACTTTACGTTCGAACATCGATTGGACCAACCAAACACAAGTATCGAAAACGAAAATAGGGAATCGATTTAAACGCCTGAGATCACTTCATCGAAGACGAGCACCAAAGAAAACCCTCTCATTATGAAGCCGGTGAAAGTGAGTGTACAAATGTCCCAATCTTTGCATCACATCAAGCAACATCATCTTCCTCGACTGACCAATCAGAGCCACCGAAAGAATGCAGCCGGAATTCTATTGGTGGAATCAGACACTAGAAACAGATCAGGAGCAACACGGCAACAGGGCAATAGTGGAGATCAATGCCAAACTCCACAACACACACACACATTCACTCTAACACACACACACACACACACACAAACACTCACTTTAACACACTCTCTCTCACACACAGAAACACTCACTCTAACACACACACACACACTGATTTGTGTGCGTCTCAAGCGTCCTCTTTACGCTCGTCCTAATGCCTGTTAGGTCTCCGTGGATTTGCCTGTATTTGGCGTTGAGAATGGAAACGTCTTTAGACATGGGAAAAACAATTTTACAATCGATTTAATGAACATTAATGAAGGCCGACGGTGACGTCACACGCGTGCCCTCTATAAAAGTGTTCACTTCTTAAAGAGTAGTGTGTGCGGTAACACTTTACAATAAGGTTCATTAGTTGACATGAACAATAAAGCATTTATCAATCTGAGTTAATATTAACTTCAACACGTACTAATACATCATTAAACTCAAAGGTTGTGTGTGTTAGCATTAGTTAATGCACCGTGAACAAACATGAACCCCTGGAGTTTTAATAACTAAACATTAACAAAGATTAAAAAACACTAACAGATGTATTTCTCTCGTTGTGTCCTGCAGAATCCGCAGTGTAAAGTGTGCAAGGAAACGCCGGTGATCCGCTCCTCTAAACACCTGTTCCTGGACCTGCCCAAGGTAAAGGAGACGTGAATGTGTGTCGAACTAGGGATGGGCAACGATTAATCGCATCCAAAATAAAAGTTTGTGTTTACATAATATATGTTTCTGTAGTGTGTTTAATTAATTTGTATATATGACGAGTTCAGATGCAAAAACCTCTAAATGCCATTTGAAATTTTCTTCTTTAATGATGATTTTTATCAAGCTTGTATATTTAAGTTCAGTAATTTCACTAAAATAACAATTAATAGGTAATTATCATGGCCATTTAAGTGAAATAACTGAACTTAAATATACAAGCTTGATAAAAATTATCATTCTAGAAGAAAATTTCAAATGGCACTTAGAGGCTTTTGCATCTGAACTCTTCATATAAATACCCACACATATATTTAAGAAAAAATGTGTTAATAATATATCAAATATTTATATTTATATATAATATTAATTGTGAATAAATATATATAAAATATATACATGCACATATTTCTTAAATATATACATGCATGTGTGGGTATTTATATATAAAAATTAATTAAACACACTACACAAACATATATTATGTAAACACAAACTTTTATTTTGGATGCGATTAATCGTTGCCCATCCCTATGTCGAACTCTTCATCCTCTCGAGTCTTGTCCACACTAACACGTGTTAGTTTGAAAACGCATCTTTTCTCTCCATTTTGGCTTTTCGTCCGCACTGAGACGCATTTTTATTAAAGGGGTCATCGGATGCCCGTTCTCCACAGGTTGGTTTGATCACGTGGCCTGGACGCGAGCCGAGCTTAGCCCCGCCCACAACGTTTGAGGCCAGGAATTTCGGTCTGGACTAGATCCGTTGAGACGCTCGAACCAAAGCTGTTCGGACCAATCAAATCATCAGGGTGGGCTTTAACGAAATCAACCGTAACGTAATCATCACGTCACCAAAGAGCGCTTGGGTTGAGGTCGTTTACAACAAAGATGGCCGCCGCTGGAGAACTGAGATGTGTAGATTGAGCATGGCGTCTGTTATAGATGTAGACAGCGCATTCGTTTTAAATCAGCGCAGTGTATTCGCAGTAAAGGGGAATTTAGTGTTTTCAGGCGTTTTCCAAAGATTTCTGAAACATCGGGAAACGCCTGAAACGCTAGTGTGGAAGGAGAGACTTTTAATGATTTTTCTAATGTATCCGTATTAATGTAGAAGTAGGCTGAGTGTGGACGGAAGGCCAAAACGGAGAGAAAATATGCGTTTTCAAAAGAACATTTCAAATAAATAAAACTTTTTATGCGCTTGGCCGTTCGTTTACACGACACCGGTGTTTTTGGGTGCCTGAAAACACTAAGTTTTGAAAACTTTTTTTTTTTTTAGCGAAAATTACGTTTTGAAATGTATCCGGATTGATTTTGTGTGTGTGTGATAGCTGGAGGGCGAGCTGGAGGAGTGGCTGGAGAAGTCGATCGGCTCGGGCGATTGGACGCCGAACGCTCGGCACATCACGCGCTCGTGGCTCCGGGACGGCCTGAAGCCGCGGTGCATCACACGAGACCTGCGCTGGGGGACGCCCGTGCCACACGAGGACTTCAAGGAGAAAGTATGAACGCTCAATCCTGAGATGTTGTTTCTAGTGCTGTCAACGTATTGTGTTAGAGGGATAGTTCACCCAAATATGAAAATTAGCCCATGATTCACTCACCCTCAAGTCATCCTAGGTGTATATGACATTCTTCTTTCAGACAAACACAGAGTTATAATGAAAAAAATGTCCTCGATCTTCCAAGCTTTATAATGGCAGTGAATGGCTTTCTGTTTTGATTGAAGTCCATAAAATTATGCACTTTTATGATGGACAGATGCACTTTTATGATTGATAGATGCACTTTTATGATGGACAGATGCACTTTTATGATTGATAGATGCACTTTTATGATGGATAGATGCACTTTTATGATAGATAGATGCACTTTTATGATGGATAGATGCATTTTTATCATGATAGATGCACTTTTATGATGGATAGATACACTTTTATGATGGATAGATGCACTTTTATGATGGATAGATGCATTTTTATCATGATAGATGCACTTTTATGATGCATAGATGCACTTTTATGATGGACAGATGCACTTTTATGATGGACAGATGCACTTTTATGATGGATAGATGCACTTTTATGATGGACAGATGCACTTTTATGATGGATAGATGCATTGTTATCATGATAGATGCACTTTAATGATGGATAGATGCACTTTTATGATGGACAGATTCACCTTTATCATGGACAGGTGCACTTTTATCATGGATAGATGCACTTTTTTGATGGATAGGTACACTTTTATGATGGATAGATGCACTTTTATGATGATAGATGCACTTTTATGATGGATAGATGCACTTTTATGATGGATAGATGCATTTTTATCATGATAGATGCACTTTTATGATGGATAGATGCACTTTTATGATGGACAGATGCACTTTTATGATGGACAGATGCACTTTTATGATGGATAGATGCACTTTTATGATGGACAGATGCACTTTTATGATGGATAGATGCATTGTTATCATGATAGATGCACTTTTATGATGGATAGATGCACTTTTATGATGGACAGATTCACTTTTATGATGGACAGGTGCACTTTTATGATGGATAGATGCACTTTTATGATGGATAGATGCACTTTTATGATGGATAGATGCATTGTTATCATGATAGATGCACTTTTATGATTGATAGATGCACTTTTATGATGGACAGATTCACTTTTATGATGGACAGATGCACTTTTATGATGACATATGCACTTTTATGGACTTCAAAACAGAAAAAGCCATTCACTGCCATTATAAAGCTTGGAAGAGCTAGGACATTTAACATTACTCTGATTGTATTCGTCTGAGAGAGGAGTGTCATATACACCTAGGATGACTTGAGGGTGAGTAAATCTTGGGCTAATTTTCAAATTTGCAATGAAATCTAGTTATTTTTTTATTCGATTAATCAACAGCACTATTTATTTCACTAATATTGTCTGTTAATCCAAATGCACAATGAACAATGTATCCATCTGTCCATGAAGGTGTTCTACGTGTGGTTCGATGCTCCTATTGGCTACCTGTCCATCACGGCAAACTACACCGACCAATGGGAGAAATGGTGGAAGAACCCTCAGCAGGTGCTGATCAACTTTGATATTTCACCTCCTATATATATAAATTTATGCTTTTAAACAATAAAACATACACTTTGGAGCCAGGGGAGCACAGAAAACACATAAAAAAATTAAATAAATATTTCACGATTATTAACACAATAATGAGGATGTGCACCGATAAATTGTTTAAATATTCTATAAAAACAGGAATTGACTTCATGGTGACTTTAAAACATGCAGCTGCAGTCATATCAGCAATTTAGGAAATAAATCTGGTGCATTTGTGTTATTTAATGAGCTCTGTTCACATTTTGTCAATTTAATGAATACTCTCAGTTCTCCCACCGATTAACACAACCCTGCTGTCCATAACCGGTGTGTTTCAGCGTGTGATTGCCGTGTGTGTCCTATAGGTGGAGCTGTACAACTTCATGGCGAAGGACAACGTTCCCTTCCATAGTGTCGTCTTCCCTTGTTCACTTCTCGGAGCTCAAGACAACTACACACTGGTCAATAACCTCATTGCCACCGGTGAGATGCTTTCTTAAATTCAGATCATTGAAATAACAAAACGATTGCAATCTAATAGAATAAAATATGCATATTTCATGACCATTGCATGAAAAGTTGGAATTTTTTAATGTTTTTGAGTCACCAAAGCTGCATTTATTACTGTAAAAATATTAGAGTGTAAATCATCTGTTCCCTATGTGAATATATAATAAAGTGTTATTTATTTCAGCATCATTACTCCAGTCTTCAGTGTCACATGACCCTTCAGAAATCACTCTAATATGAGGATCTGATGATCAAGACACAGTTATGATTATTATCAGTGTTAAACCGTTTCATGTTGTTGTGGAAAACGATTCTTTGATGAACAGAACAGTCTTTACTGTCGCTTTGGATCAACTTAATTTGTCCTTGCAGAATAAACAGTTTTACTGACTCCAAACAGAAGTGTAAATGCATAATAAAATTCAGAAATCTCTGGAATTTGATATTTCAGATGTTGCAGATTGATATTGTGGCGTGTGATTGGCTGAGACCGTTCATGAATGTGTTCATGTGTCCAGAATACTTGAATTACGAGGACACCAAGTTCTCCAAGAGCCGCGGTGTGGGTGTGTTCGGGGACATGGCGAAGGACACGGGCATCCCGTCTGACGTGTGGCGCTTCTACCTGCTGTTCCTGCGGCCCGAGGCTCAGGACTCCGCCTTCTCATGGGCCGACATGGCCATCAAGAACAACTCTGAGCTGCTCAACAACCTGGGCAACTTCATTAACAGGTGTGTGTGTGTGTGTGTTGCTGGATCACTCACTTATACACACTCACTCTCTTATACTCACTCACTCACTCTCACTCACACACACACACACACACACACACATACACACACTCACTCTCTTATACTCACTCACTCACTCTCACTCAATCACACACACACTCACACTTATACACACACACACTCACACTTATACACACACACACTCACACTCACTCACTCACACACTCACACACACGCACACACACACACTCACTCTCACTAACTCACTCATTCACTCACACTCACTTACGCTCACTCTCTCTCACACACACACACACTCACTCTCACTAACTCACTCATTCACACACACTCACTTACGCTCACTCTCTCTCTCTCACACACACACACACACACACTTTCAGAACATTTTTTTTTTTTTTTTTTCTGGTAAATTTGCAATGAAATAACCAAAAAAAAATATTATTTTATTTTGTTATTATAGTGAACTGAAACTAAAATTAAAACCATAAAAAATTGTTGCTTGAAATAAAATAAACGCTAACTGAAATAAAATATTAAAAAATGATATTGTAGCCTATATATTATTTATTTTTATTTTAGCCAAGGCAACATTTCTTATTTTCATTTAATTTAACTTGATTTACTAAAATAACTAAAACTAAAACTGAAATAACTATTAATAAAACTATACAGACATATTTATAAAAAAAATAATACTACAAAATTACTAATACTTTGACTGAAATTAAAAGGAAACCAGAAACTATACAAAATACTAAGTTCAAAATATTAATACAAACTATAATATGATGCTAAAATACTCAAATATAAAACTACTCAATGATACTAAAATAACACTGACACATACATATTTTTTTTTACATAATATTAACAAAATTTACATACTAACTAAACAATCATAAAAAAAGAAAATCTTTTTTATCGATCTTTTGAAACTACTCAGAAGGATATAATCAGTATTATAAATTATAAAAAAACAGTATACCTGTTTATACAATACTGCACATGCGTTTTTTTACATAATATTAACAAAATTTACATACTAACTGAATACTCATTAACAATTTTCTTTTTTAAAGATCTTTTAAAGCTAGACAGAGAAGTACATAATTTCAAATCATCTTTTAGTGGTTCTTTCTTTTCCACATTGAAACACAAACAGGCCTCTTAAGTTATATCTACCCTCTCTTAACTTAAATCATTTCTGAATACTAGATGGAAGACTTTTATTAAGTGCTCTATACATTATTTCCAATGTTTTTATATATACAATATCTGTAAATTAGGGCTGTGCAACAATTAATTGTGATTAATCGCATCCAAAATAAAAGTCTGTGTTTACATAATATATTTGTGTGTGCTGTATATAATTATTTTATATATATAAATACACACACATGCATGTATATATTTAAGAAAATGTGTTATTCGTATATAAAATATTTATATTTATTTAATATATATATATATACAGAATTTAAGCGCAAATAATTCTTAAATGTATACATGTATGCATAGGTAATTATATATACAAAATAATTATATACAGCACACACAAATATATTATGTAAACACAGACTTTTATTTTGGATGCGATTAATCGCAATTAATTTTTGCACAGCCCTACTGTAAATTTTAAGGTATGACTTTGAATAAAAAGTTTTATTAGTTGGTTCGCGATATCCTACTTTATTAATAAGTCTGTAACTTAATTAATACAACTATATTTGTTTTATTTGCAATTCCCCAGATTTCTGAACAATATGACAAGTAAGGCATTGCTAAGGAGGAATATGTAATACTCAAGCCCATTTTATTTATTAAATCTTTTGTTTTATACAGTATTCCTACTGATTTTGCTACCTTACTTCTAATGTATTCAATATGCGATTTCACATTTCTGAACACATCTCATGCGTCTTGATTGAGATTGCTGTTAAATAGTTTTTACTTTTCTTTTCTTTTTTACACTTTTGCCACAAACTATTCAGTGATTAAAAACGAATGAATTACAATGTGTAAATCTCCCCTTTTGCATCAGTTTTATTAACTTTTTCTTTCTTTCTTTCTTTATCAGTGATGCTAAGCTTCACATAATGCAATTTGTTGATCAAAATAAATTCCTACATTTCCTGAGAAGTCCTACATTTCAGTCTGGCATGAAATATTAATGAAATCATCCATTTTAAAACGCTAAGAGTCCCAGTAGTTTTGCTGTAGTTTTCCTGGCAACACTTGACTATAAGGTTTCACGAAGTAGCATTTATTAATCTTCGCTAACGTTAATCTCAGCATTTGCTGATGATGTTTCCGCAGGGCAGGGATGTTTGTGAGCAAGTTCTTCGACGGCTGTGTTCCTGAGATGCTCCTGAATGAAGACGATAAGCGCCTCATCGCTCAGGTGTGCTGGGAGCTCAAGCAGTACATCTCGCTGCTGGATAAAGTCAGGTCAGGATTACCCACAATTCCTCATCAACATGCCTGAAAATTCGGCTTTATGTCTATTAACCCTTTGTGGAGACTCATAATGTAATACATTTATCTACTCTCTTTAACTAATCATTTTTTTTTATGTTTTAAAAGCTATTACAATTATGAAAATGTTACATTTTTGGTGAGTTTATAATATAATAGATTTCTCACAATGTAAAAATTATTACATTATGAGCTTAAAGATTTTGAACATTTTATTACTATAATAATATAATACTCATTACATTATGTGCATTTTCATTATGAGTTGCTACAACCTTTGACGAGTGCGATCACGGCGAAGTTTATAGTTCGGATGTGTCAGCGGTAGTGATCAAAATAGAGTAAATCACCTTTCGCTTCAAATAAAAATTTTGTATTACACCCGTAGATAGCGACAAGTGAGTCTTTGAATCATTCATTCAAGAGATTTGTGTAACAACGCTGATTCATCCAGTAATGAAACAAGTGAAGTATTTTTGAGTGAGTCATTGAATAATTAATTCATTCAAGAGATTTGTTCGAAAACGCTGATTCACACAGTAATGAAACAAGTGAAGTATTTGTGTGTGAGTCGTTGAATCATGCATTCAAGAGATTCGTTCGAAAACGTGGATTCATCCAGTAATGAAACAAGTGAAATTTTTATGAGTGAGTCATTGAATCATTCATTCAAGAGATTCGTTCAAAAATGCTGATTCATCGGGTAATGAAACGAGTGAAGTCTTTATAAGCGAGTCATTGAATCATCATTGATTCAAACAGATTTTTTAAATGCTGATTCATTTGGTAATGAAACGAGTGAAGTCTTTATAAGTGAGTCATTGAATCATCATTGATTCATACTCATTTTTTAAATGCTGATTCATCTGGTAATGAAACGAGTGAAGTCTTTATTAAAAGTGAGTCATTGAATCATCATTGATTCAAACTGATTTTTTAAATGCTGATTCATTTGGTAATGAAACGAGTGAAGTCTTTATAAGTGAGTCATTGATTCAAACTGATTTTTTAAATGCTGATTCATCTGGTAATGAAACGACTGAAGTCTTTATAAGTGAGTCATTGAATCATCATTGATTCAAACTGATATTTAAATGCTGATTCATCTGGTAATGAAACGAGTGAAGTCTTTATAAGTGAGTCATTGATTCAAACTGATTTTTTAAATGCTGATTCATCTGGTAATGAAACGAGTGAAGTCTTTATAAGTGAGTCATTGATTCAAACTGATTTTTTAAATGCTGATTCATCTGGTAATGAAACGAGTGAAGTCTTTATAAGTGAGTCATTGAATCATCATTGATTCAAACTGATTTTTTAAATGCTGATTCATCTGGTAATGAAACGAGTGAAGTCTTTATAAGTGAGTCATTGATTCAAACTGATTTTTTAAATGCTGATTCATCTGGTAATGAAACGAGTGAAGTCTTTATAAGTGAGTCATTGATTCAAACTGATTTTTTAAATGCTGATTCATCTGGTAATGAAACGAGTGAAGTCTTTATAAGTGAGTCATTGAATCATCATTGATTCAAACTGATTTTTAAATGCTGATTCATCTGGTAATGAAACGAGTGAAGTCTTTATAAGTGAGTCATTGATTCAAACTGATTTTTTAAATGCTGATTCATCTGGTAATGAAACGAGTGAAGTCTTTATAAGTGAGTCATTGATTCAAACTGATTTTTTAAATGCTGATTCATCTGGTAATGAAACGAGTGAAGTCTTTATAAGTGAGTCATTGATTCAAACTGATTTTTAAATGCTGATTCATCTGGTAATGAAACGAGTGAAGTCTTTATAAGTGAGTCATTGAATCATCATTGATTCAAACTGATTTTTTAAATGCTGATTCATCTGGTAATGAAACGAGTGAAGTCTTTATAAGTGAGTCATTGATTCAAACTGATTTTTTAAATGCTGATTCATCTGGTAATGAAACGAGTGAAGTCTTTATAAGTGAGTCATTGATTCAAACTGATTTTTTAAATGCTGATTCATCTGGTAATGAAACGAGTGAAGTCTTTATAAGTGAGTCATTGAATCATCATTGATTCAAACTGATTTTTTAAATGCTGATTCATCTGGTAATGAAACGAGTGAAGTCTTTATAAGTGAGTCATTGATTCAAACTGATTTTTTAAATGCTGATTCATCTGGTAATGAAACGAGTGAAGTCTTTATAAGTGAATCATTAAATCATCATTGATTCAAACTGATTTTTTAACTGCTGATTCATTTGATAATGAAACAAATGTGAAGTCTTTATAAGTGAGTCATTGAATCATCATTGATTCAAACTGATTTTTTAAATGCTGATTCATCTGGTAATGAAACGAGTGAAGTCTTTATAAGTGAGTCATTGATTCAAACTGATTTTTTAAATGCTGATTCATCTGGTAATGAAACGAGTGAAGTCTTTATAAGTGAGTCATTGAATCATCATTGATTCAAACTGATTTTTTTTAAGATTAAAATTAATGAAATGTAATTTTGTTTAGTTGTCTATTCAGAATCATGTCAAAGTTGTTCATTCTCAAATGAATCCAGAATCGTTGATATCGACCAGGCTGTGATCTCTATAGTATTTCAGCAGCTGGTAGTTCCTCTAGAACTCAGGGTTACCTGGGAATTGAAGGTTCAATTTGTGATTTCCAAATTCACGGAAAATAATTCTATAAAATTATACAAACAAATGATCTGTTAAACTGAAGCTGTGGGAGCATTTATTTCTCTCAATAATGCTTGTTTTGTAATATTGCACGCGCTCCTAACTCTCCTACGACGGGTTTGTTCCAGGATCCGTGACGCTCTGAAGTGCATCCTGAACATCTCTCGTCACGGGAACCAGTACATGCAGGTCAACGAGCCCTGGAAGAAGATTAAAGGAGGAGACCACGACAGGTGAACGAACACTGAACTATACTTCTAAAGCATCTAATTTTGAAGTTTTTTTTTGAAAATCATTTATAAAATTAAAATATACAAGTAACAAATGTATTTATTATTTTGTAGTTAACTTATTTACCAATTATATCTTCTTGTAAAGTGTTAATTCTAAAGAGAAGTTTTAAGAAAATTGTGAAAAGCTAACTCGTTTTGTGTGTGTGTGTGTGTGTGTGCTGCAGGGAGCGTGCCGGGACCGTGACGGGGGTGTGTGTGAACGTGGCGTGTCTCCTGTCCACCGTGCTGGAGCCGTATATGCCGACGGTCAGCCACACCATCCGCGTCCAGCTGCAGGCTCCGCCCACCTGTGCCAGTGCCCAGCTGCAGGGCCCGGGGAGCTTCGTCTGCTCACTGCCGGCCGGACACCGCATCGGCACGGTGAACACTCGCCGTATTACACCACACATCACCATTAATACTCTAATACAGATCTTTTCTTTTCTCATTTTTTTTTACTTTATTTATTTTTACTTTTGTTACTTATAATTATTATTATTATTTATTATAAAAATGTTTTTTATTTTTTTTTTATTACCTCTCCTCTTTTTGTATTGTTATACGTATTATTATTTACATTTCTTTTACTTATTTTTTACTCATTATTTAAAATTTTCCTATACTTTTTTTTACCTATTATTATTATTATTATTATTTATTTATTTATTCACCTCTCCTTTTTTTGCTTTTTACTTTAATAAACCTGTCTTTGGCTCTCCTACAGGTCAGTCCGTTGTTCCAGAAGTTGGAGAACGAACAGATCGAGGCTCTGAGGAAGAGATTTGGAGGTCAACAGGTTTGTCGAACACATTCATGCATTATTGAGCAGATTCTCCTGCAGAAACCGGAGTCGAGATTCAACAAAACCCTCAAAATTCATCAAAAACTCATTGAAATTTTGGATTTTAATGGAAAAAAAATTATATTAAATAATATTATAAATATGAAAAAAATTAAATAAATATTTCTAAGCTCAGTTGTTCTCCCACTCTCTATCTATTTTATCTATATATATATTTATTTTCACAATTATTAATTTATATTTAAAAAAGAATATCAGCTAGAAATTGCTATTTGTGAGAGTGATCTCTATAAAATGATGTTAAAAAATCTGGAAAAGTTGTGGAAATTAATTTTTGGAGAATTATTCTATATTTAACCGCACCTATAAAATTAAATTAAAAATGCAATAAAATTAGCTTTAAAATGTAATAGTCTGTTTAAACATCTATGCATTTCTCATGTTTAATTTTCTACTTTGCTACTCTGGAACAGCCATGTATTCTATTTATACTATATATATATATATATATATCTATCTAGTGTAAGCGTGTAAATTGGTCAGACAGAAGTGTAATTAAACCCTGATTAATTAAAATCAAGTTATTCCAGCAACATGAGCTGCGGGATCTGATGATGTTCATTATCTACGGTTATTTGTCTGATTCTCTGCCTCTCTCAGCCAGAAGAGGAGTGTGTTGAAGCGAAGGTAGACACGTGTGTGTGTGTGTGTGACCGCTCACTGTTCTCACGGCTTTGTGTGTGTTTTCACTATGACTGAGTGTGAAATGGATTCAGTGATGTCTATATGTTCTGGATCAAAGCGTGTGTGTGTGTGTGTGTGTGTGTGTCAGTCTCTAACGGCCTCCGGCTGCGACTCAAACACAACAAACCTCGTTTTATATTCTATCTAACGTTATTTTAGAGCATGAGATTTCACAGATGTGTGTGTACTAACAGATTTTTCTGCATGTGTGTTTGTGTGGTTGCTTTTATGAATGATCAAATTATTGTTGCATATAATTATTAAAGATTTGATTTTAATTTGAATTTTTGTAATAATTATTACAAATCTTTATAATTAAAACAAATATAAAGAAACAAATGCATGCGACTCCTTTTTTTTGTTTTGTTCTGAAACGTTTGCAATATTGATATTGTGTCTCTAGAGCCAGAGTTTCAGCAGCGCTGCAGCCGACACCAAACCTGGAGCGCCACTCCTGACCCCTGACCCCGAGACAGTCACACACCTGACCACTCAAGTGGCTGAACAAGTAACAACATACACACACACACACTCACTTAGAAAATATTTTATATAATGTTTTTTTTAAACATTTTAAATATGTGGGGTGAACCGAACACCAAACTTGGTTACTGTAGTTTATCGAAAAAAATTATTTGTAAAAAAAAAAAAGTTTTATTTTACTATGCAAAAAAATGCAAACATTGACTACAACATAATCAGCTATTAATAATTTGTTCATTCTCTCTGGTTTTGCATGTGTTCATAATTTCTTTGTATGATAACTAAAAAAAACACCAAAAAATTATCTGAAAAAATTGTCGCACAATTCGTCGCATTTTATTGCGTTATTACAAATAAAACTATCGACTCAAGCGCAACTACGCAATATGACTAGACTACAAAATCTTCAACACATTTTTAATAAAATTTGAACAAAGAATGAAAATGTTAATTCTCCAGACTGTGTGTGTATATATATATGTATGTATATATATATATATATATATATATGAAGCATTTCATATTGAAAAAATAATGCTGTTTTTTGTATTTTCAATATAATGTAATTTCAAGCACGCCTCCATTTTCCTCCAGAAAACATTATGGCGCTTTAGTAACTGCATTTATTGTGTATTGTCGCACACAATTCATAATTTCTCCCTTCATCACACTGTTTTTATTCTTTATTGTGTTAGAATATTGAAAAAATTAAATGAAGATGAAATTTGTAATAATTTTTTAATGTATATTTAACATATATAGAAATATAATTTATTTATTTTTTTTATTAATTTTTTATTAATCAGATATTTATTTATCTGATATTATTTATCAGTCGATTTATGATTCTTTGGTGTGCGTTTATGTTTCAGGGCGATAAAGTACGAGCTCTGAAAGCTCAGAAAGTGGACAAGTCGGTCATCGGGGAAGAAGTCGCCAAATTACTCGAGCTGAAAAAACGACTCAGTCTCGCGGAGGGCAAGAACACAGAGCCGGCGGCTCAGAAACCCAAGAAGAAATGAACATGAAGAAGAAGAAGAAATAAAAACTTTCTATTTTTTACAATATTTTCCGGGAACTACAGGTGAAACTGGAAAAATGAGAATATGGTGCAAAAGTTCATTTATTTCAGTAATTCAACTTAAAAGGTGAAACTAATATATTATATAGACTCATTACATGCAAAGTGAGATATTTCAAGTGTTTATTTGTTATAATTGTGGTGATTTTGAACCTTTCACATTTGGCGTTTTCATCATAATCATCAAAATTATAACAAATAAAGTCTTGAAATATCTCACTTTGCATGTAAAGAGTCTATATAATATATTAGTTTCACCTTTAAGTTGCTGTGAACCTTTTAAATTACTGAAATAAATGAACTTTTGCACGATATTCTCATTTTTCGAATTGCACCTGTATATATAAATATTATCTGGGAACTACATGGGATACTGCACTATTTACCCACTCCTATAAAAATGAAACCAATCTTTTTTAAAAGCAGTGAAATCTGTCAAAAATCCTTTTAAAATGCAATAAAATCAATGTATTACCCATTTAATTCTTCTGAATTGTAACCTGTGGTACAACTATGGATTTCATTCATACACTCAATAAACACTTACACAAAAATCTCAAAGACTCAATTCAGTTCATTTAAAAAAGTTTAATAGCAAAATGTGTGTCGTACAAGTCTAAATAAAATTCAGATAAAAATTTGCTACGCTAATACAGTAATTCGGCATGCACGTTTCTTATCTTAACATTAGGGTGATTACATGTCATGATGATTATGTGATGCACGTATAGAAAAATAGGCATGGATCAGAGGCAGAGAGCGTTATAAACTGCTATTATTCTGAAAAAGTTTCAGAAGTGAGAGCAAAATCACATTCATGGTCTTCATCTAAACACACACACACACACACTCGTGCTTAGAGGCCTCGGGTTGATGGTGAGCGCAGAGAGAAACGGCTCACAATCGATCAGAATAACAGTCCTGAGCTCCTAATCTGGACACACTGAAAGCCCTGTCGTTTACACGTCACAATCTCGGTTACGGACACACTCGCGTCGCTGCTTCCACGACCTGTTTATTGCAGTTCTGCTACGTTCCCCACAGAAACACTCACAGCGTTCACTTCACACACTCAGAAAGTTCATTAACCTTTGGGTGCTTTCATACAATTTGGTGCGTTTTAGTCTCGTTTAACAGATCTCACGAAAACCGGTCAAAAACACCCCAAACCTAGTTATATTTTGCTTAAAACAAAGGTGTTTTCTTTAGATTTTTTTTGCATTGTAATTTAGTTCATTACAAACTGCATTTTTATTAATGTAAGGCAAAATATCTCTTTAATTAGTGTCTTGTGATAATTTAAGTCTTAAAGTTTGCATTGTATTAGTCTTTTTAATTTAGTGCAAAAACGTAAATTTTTTAATTTTTAAATCTTTGCTTTTGATATCTTATTGCTGTAATGCAATCTTTTTCTTTAACTTATTCGTATTGTCATTGGTTAATTTCTAACATTTAAACATCATAATAGTAATTTTTGCTGATTTAAATGTCTGAAGTAAAGTAAATAGGCTTCATTTTTTTTTTTATTGCTTTTCATTCGTTAAATTTAAATAAATGCACATGCCTTTAATTTTTGCTTTAAATGTTTAACGGAATGCATTACTGTAATTTTAATTTTCTGCAAAACTTGTGTAACACATTGTGTTAGACATTTAAATCTAGTGCAAAAAACTGGAAAAATGTTTTCGAAGTGTTAAAATTTAAAGATTTGAAAAGAATGCATTAATCATTTTCAATTTGTGTGTGTGTGTGTGTGTGTAAAATCAGGCTTTATTTTCTCATGATCTAATTTAATATTAACTATAGTTACTTTTGTTAATAATTTGTGATATTCTTTAAACTGTAACATTTATCATAGTATCATCTTAAATTAGGTTTATTTTTTCATCTAATTCCTTCTTTGTTCATTCGATGTTTAAATTAATGTAATGCCATCTCATTCTTAATTTTATTCAAAGTGTCAAACGTGACTGAATTTAAATTGAACTGAAGACGGCTTTGTGTTCTCTGAGCCCAATCTGAATTGTGTTCGGGGTGAGGTTTGACCGGGGACGTGTTTCTCTCGGTCGCGCTCCACATTCTTTCTTTTCTACGGCTTGATCCGACTTTCTCTTTCTCTCTCGGCGGGAGACGCTCCGCGAACCTCCTTCTCTTTCTCCCCCCGTCCCACGTGTCTTTTATCCCCTTCTAAATGTGCATTTCATGGTCAATTGTTCAACCGCTTCAGCCCTGTTGCTCTTCACCTCCTGGTGTTGACGAGTCTCTCGATGAGCGCGCGCCTCGTCCTCTGCACCTCCTCCCCCAAACGCTCGATCTCGGCTTTGAGGCGCTCGTTCTGATCCGTCAGCTCCTGCACTTTCCTCTCGTTCTCCTGCTCGCGCTCTCTCCTGCTCTTCTTCCCGGGGGACGGAGAGCACAGCGCGTCGGCGCTTCGCTTTCTCTTTCCGGGACGCGAGGAGGCGGGAGGGGACGCGGGCGGGGAGCAGTTTAGGGAAGGCGAACGGGACGCCGACGAGCAGGACGACGTGTCGGGGACGGTCGGGAGTTCCTCCTCGCTGACCGCCGGAGACGAAGGGGGATTGAGGTGGTATCCGCCGCTAACCATCGTTTCCACCGAGCCAACGCCTCCTTCGCTCAGCAGCTCGAAGAACTCGGGCGGAAGCAAGTCTCCTCCGGACGAGACGTGCTCGGAGTCGGCTCTCCGGTCGTCCTGTCGCGGAGGCGTTGGCGTACTCGGCAGGTCGTCGGTGACGCGTTGCACGCCATCTCCCCATACCTGCCCCTCCGTCAGCCAGGTGAGCGAACAGCTCTCCAACACATCCAGAAACTCCGGCTCCTTCTGCATTGAGAAGACAAACCGTTAGAGGGAAACGTGTACGGACGCGACTCTAGCACAGCGTTTGACATTACTGACCTCGGAGCAAGGCGGGGCTCGCGTAAGTTTGGCCCCGCCTCCGTCGGAGCCCAATATATCCTGTAGGTCTTCATACCACGCCTCCAACTCTGCACCACACAGCGGCCCCACACCAGGGGGGTACAGCCACTCCGCAGTCATCGCACCAATCAGTCGCTATCCACAGACACAATACGATATGCTCCCACACCTAGCACACCAGACCTGGCCCACATAAAAATACAGAAACTATCTAAAAGAAGTGCTAAACACAAACCTCTGGATGACGTCGCTGTGGTGTGATGATGAGACGATACATCTAGTGGGAGCTTTAACGCATCAGCAGCACACCTGCGCCGCGGGTTTGGGGAATAGCTGATTTATTTGGGTGACCCGCTATATTATACGGGACATTGAGATTGACTGCTCGGCCACTGGGTGCAACAAGGACACATAGTGGACGAGCAGCGTTACTGCACGATAAATGATCAGCTTTATGGCGTTTCAGATGCATGCATTGACTGGAAAATTATTCTTTATTGTAGCCTTGAAATCATTCAAAGTTAGTGAACTTGAAAAAAATATTAAAAGGTGCTCACCTTTAAAAGTCTCTCTTGTCAATCAAGTTTGAATGTGGGTTGGCGGCGATATTTTGTCCCAATAATTCTAGAGAAATAAAAAAATGGATCTTGTCAAGCTCACATTACTTGGTGACAAATTTTTTTTTTAAAGTAAAGACTGTTATCTAAAATATCTATTTTAGCTGCGAAACAAGCAAAACACATTCAAGAACAAAGATGAAGATGCATCATAGAGGGAGGGGCTTGTGAATAATTAAGAACGCGTAAAACATAACCCGTAGCAATTATTGATTCATTAATCTAAAATTAGGTCATTGTGATTTTTTAATGTAAACAAAGGCGCATTGTGTGCTCGAGGGCGCCCTCTGCGTGAGTCTGAGCGCTGACGGTCTGTCAAAACAAGCTCAATGAATCTCGCCTTCAATGCGAAGACATTCAAGTTCAGCTGAAATCACACCTCAGAACTCGTCTGACATGTAAACGCGACAAACACGGCACTTTACATGTCTGTGAGACCATGAAAACGGCACTAAAATATGCACCTGAGGCACTCCCAAGTGTTTTGTTATTTTTATATAAATCCTAATGCAGTGTAACGCGATATAACGAAATAAATACACTTTATATTATCTATTATTATTATGTAATGGCGTTTATTTGTTGTATTCTGGCTTGTTACTTCCAAAGATATGACTAAATCGAATATTTTAAAATTAATAGTGAGTCGTAAAATTACACGATAATTAACTTATGTCACGTAAATAGTTTAAATACATTTTCTTTTATAAACTGTCAATCTGGAGCGGGGGGTTTAACGAAACTGACAGCGAGCCAATGACGTCATGGAATCAAAGTACAGGAGCGAGGAAACAAAGGGCGAACACTTCGCAGTTCGCACCCAAAATAACACTTTAAAAGTACTTTAACGACATAAAAACACAACGAGTTAGCCATCGTGACTACATCCGTTTGATTACTTAAACTGTAAAAAGTTGATGTAGCGCGGTTCCGTTCGGCGATCAATAAACAAAATAACCGTTAAAAATAAAACGTTTGCAAAAAAAAGTTGTGAGGCGCGCGTCTAAAATGCCGCGAATGTGACGAAATGACAGCTGTCATTGCGTTGTTTTGTAAGCAAGTAACTTAAAGTAAAATAAACCAGGAAATGAGAGCGCAACGATTGCGTTAAATTAAGAAAATAACGGACGGAGAATCCTGTGAAATTTGAGTTGAGCAACTGTATTCCAAAAACAGCCTGGGATAGTCGCCAAAGCATGCGCATTCCTGTATATCCCAAAAGGAAAAGCTTGACAAACAGGAAAAGTACGTTACAACAGATAACAATAAAGAATAGACAAATAGATGACACTCACCCTTTTCTTTTTATTATTTCTTTTCCTCGGTTGTTTCGGATTCAGGGTCTGTGTGTGTTTTTGTAGAGATTGGTGATAGCTCATGTTAACCATTGTTCAGTTGAAGTCACCGAGTGTGGATTTCGGAAACTCCCGGGGACATTTATAGAGTGACTCCAACCGAACTCTGGGGGAAGGATCTCAAGGTGCAACCTAACCGGGATGGCGAGGAACTGACAGGAGATGGTCGGCCGTGTGCGCCAATCAAGTGAGGCTGTCGAAATTCTTCTGCTTAGAGACATCCAATGAGCGGGCGCGCTGGGCGGGAGGGGCGGGACTTATTGACTTTGCTGGTTGTCTCGCTCGGTGCGAGTTTGTGTGAGCGGGAAGATGTGATGCAGTCATAAGACGGCCAGGACGAATTTGGGGCGTAAGGGAGTCACATGAAAGGAATGATGCAATCGTTGGCAACCGGTTTCTAGTTGGAGATAAGACTAGCAGAACCCGAGCATGTTTTATTAAACAACCTTTAGTTAAAAAGAAAAAAGGAAAAAACCTGACAAACTACCCTATAAGGATGTAGGAAAATGTGTCGATTTTTTTGCTTGCGTTCGCATATGAACATATAAAAAAATAGGCAGCGTTAATATCCGTCGTCGTCGTGTGATATTTGTACCCATTTATTCGCTCTTTTTCCATCTTTAATAATTCCACTCTAGTGACCTGAGGCGATTCTTTCATGTTTCCAAATGCAGTTCAGCACTATGGAACTGGGATATTCCATAGGAGTTTGAACAATCCCACCCCACCCACTGCGTTCCTCAGACATTTCACTCAACATAAGATAGCCTACACAATCGGCAATTCGACACAATAAAGTATAGATTCTGCATTCGAAAAAAAACAAATAACAACATAAAAGAACTTGAGTTGTTTAGGCATGTTACTGTTCAACACACCTGTTTAGAATCGCTAAATGAGCCCATAAAGTGACGTTGAAATGGTAAAGGTCATTATCTAGTTCACAGGTAAGATCTTCCAGTGTAAATCAGCACAAGATTGGGTTTTAATCCTCCACCCTAAATGTATAGCACATTTTCCAGCATATATGACACTAAAATTGTGGATGTTTCAAAACGTTTTTCCAAATTTCAGAATGCTGTCATTTGGTCATCCCAATTAATTACAGACTGTAAGTTTTTTCAGAGAGTACAAAAATAAAGGTTATTGGCATTGGTTGTTCCATAAAGAACCTTTAACATCCATTGGACAAAGTTATTTGTAGTAGAAAAATGTTCATTAGATTATTAAAATGTTTTTGACACTAAGAAGAAGTTAGTGAATACCTGCACAACGTTTTTAAATGATATACTTCAGTTACTCGTTCAGCGTATGATCTGAACACTTAAACCCAAGTATTGTGTCAACATGGGTAAAGTATAATTAACCCAACAGTTTTGTCGTAATTTACTACTCGTATATATCAAAATAAGATATTTTGAAGAATGTTGGTAGCCATTGACTTCCATAGTATTTTTCCGGTTACTGACATTCTTCAAAATATCTTCTTTTGTGCTCATACATGTTTGGAACAACTTGAGGGTGAGTAAATGTCAAATGATGACAGAATTTTAAAATATGATATTCTGAGGGATGTTACGAACCAGAGTTGACGGTTGGTAGCCATCGAGTTTTTTCCCTCTACTTTTCTTGGTTTACCAACATTCTTCAAAATATCTTCTTTTGTGTTCAGCAGAACAAAGAAACTCATACATGTTTGGAACAACTTGAGGGTAAATTATGACAGATTGTTTAATTATTGGGTGAACTGTCCCTTTAAGACTGTTGCTGTGGCACTGGGAATAACTATAACAACGTACTTTTTCGTGTCTGACACATGTTGACGGTTGACCGATACTCAACGCGCCAAGTCAAAAATTCAAACGTAACTGATCGAGATGATGTCACAGCCTTGTTTAAAAGCACCCCTAATGTGTTGTCCTGTAATATGATCCTTCAAATAAAATGACGGTAATTAGTTTAGAATGGTTTTTAATTAACAGGTGTACACCCCCCGTTTTAATCGCCTGACCTGTCACTCTTGGCCAACTGATGTCACCGGGGACTCATCTCGTTAGTATTCTGAAACTATTCCAAACACAAGAGTTAAGTAGTTAAACTTGCATGGTGCAAAGCGTGCAATGTATTGCCTAGCAACAGCGCAAGTGGGATGCGCGTAAGGTTAGCGAATAGAAACCTCAAATACTGTTTCCAGGAGCAGGGCAGCGCTCGCGTGGAGACGTCACGATCGGTTGGCTGTTGCTGTGTAGTGTGTATTATTCTCCCCACTGCCTAATGGTTATCACCTCCGAGCGTGTAATTCTATTGGCAGGTTACTCCTTTATTCCCTAAAGTTGTGTTTACTCAACATTTCTTTGAAGTTTTAACAGGTTTAACTCTCAATAACTCGCTGTGTTTGGAAAACTTTGTCGAGTTACCTGCCTTCAACACAGTAGGAGGTTGATCTGATTTATATTTCTAACTCGCACCCAAGACTCACACCCAAAATGTTCTTATTGTGCCAGCGAATCACATTTCTGCTCAAGAGAATAACACATTTTACAACACCATATGCTGAAATATCTCTGATTTCCTACATCTGAATTCCTCCACACTAAATAGGTTTTATCTGCGATTTCCCTCAGTAATTATAAAGTACTTACGGGCGAACCATTTTTTTGTTTCCTCAGCTAACTGACACAATAAGGCCAATAAAGGTATGCGTGTGTGTAGAATCATTTTATAGAAGACGAACAGAAAAATCTTTCTCTCAGGATATTCTCGCCTCCTGCTCAATTCAAATAAACCACATTTCCAGAAGTTCACGAGCATCTAAGGTTACCAGACCCGCTTGAATTTAATTTAATGACATTTTTCGAGTAGTTTGAGGCTGATCATAAATTCGGCGGAAAACATTTGTAGCCTAGTTGTTTTCTTCTTTATTGACTATACACAGAAAAACATAAAAGACAACTATTTTTTCGTGCTTTATTTTATATAAAGCATGGTTATTGAGTACAAACAGTTATCAAAACAACTTAAAATATGTAAATGCATATTATTGATAACATTTCTTGATTTAGAATTTAACATCTTAATATAAATCATCCATTGTAGTGACAAAAAAACAGCTTAAAAATACGCCAGATTTTTATTTACTTAATTTTACAATATCCAAAGTTAAAAATGGTGTAATTTTAGAACAATCCCTTCAAACCTACAGAAGCGTATCTATTTATTTTTGTACCAGGGCGCGTTTTGCTCCTCACGAGTGGCTCTCTCGCGCCTCCTAGTGGCTTAGAAATTATACGGAATTCCCAACCCCGACAGCAGCTACTGCGCATGCGTGGAAGAAAACTCCATGATTTTTTTTGGCACGGGATCCTAAGGAAAAATAGGAACTTGGAGACGAAGATAAACTAAAAGCACCACCACACAGCCACAATCCACCCCTCGCTCGCATATGCACACAGTAAAGACGCATAGGAGAGTTCTGAACCTTTGAATGAAGCGATCGCACGCTCCGCGGCCGAGCAGGATTCACGCGAAATTGGACGACAATGCACGGGGCGCAATAAAACCAAGCGTTATTGCTCTTTGTTTTTAAGCAGGACGGCTCGGATGGATGAAGACGCGGGGAAGTGCCTAAAAATCACACGGCGTTAATAACAGCTCAAGAAACGGCGACATTTGCAACTCGAGTCCATCGAGACGCTTGTTCTGTCTTTCGCCTGTGTTGTGCAGCGCGCCGAAGAAGCAGGAAACTTCGTAAACAGAGAGGTACGTAGCCCGCGAGCTAACCAAAGCTAACAGCGCGTCTACGCTGTACGCGACGCGTCAAACTCGAACGCTTCCGTTTTAATGTAACGAAGAACGCTTTATTGGTTAAAATCGGAATGTTATCGCACGTCCCGTAAGCTTACAATATAAATGGGAGGTTTAGGAATGGGCCAGCTAGCCGTCAATATGCGACATTTGTTTATTCTTCGGGACGTCCAATCTTCAAAAGTACCAGTGTTATACGTAGGCGTAAGTATTACTGTTTACTTTAGCTACATATTTACGTCCTCCTTTCTCCGAAACTTTGCGCACTTTTTATTTGTGGTGTTAGCTCGCTGCTCCACTAGTCAAATCCCGTCAAAGCCTGAGCATTAGCCGCTTCATAGTCATCCGCCTTAATATGCCAGAATAAAAAACCGTTAAAAATACACGGTTTTAGGCTGTGACATCATCTCGATCACTTGCATTTGAATTTTTGACTTGGCGCGTTGAGTACCATTTTCAACTGTCACTTTTCACTCTACTGTCAATCATATGTCAGAACTGTAGGCTACATTAACAATAAAGTACCGTGTTTTGGGACTTGTACCCTAGTACCACCATGGTATTCAGAGCCAGAAATGAATATGGTGATATAAACAGTACTTTGTTGTATATAAATATAATCTAATCAAATATCATCTATAAATGTGAACAATTTTTCCAGTGGTTATATTGAAAAACATTACATAATAGTTTATATTACTCAAACAAAACCAATCCCACCTGAAATGTATTTTTCGGTAGATAACACTTTACAATAAGGTGTATTAGTTAACATTGGTTCGTGTATATACAAATTTGAACTAACAATGTTCAATACATTTGTTACAGTACTTCTCTTTAACGTTAGGTAATAAAATAGCCTACAGTTGCTCATTTTAGTTCACAGTGCATTAACTAATGTTAACAAATACAACATTTGATTTAAATTATGTATTAGTAAATGTTGACATGAGTATTAATTAATAATAATAAATGCTGAAAACATATTGTTCATTCTTAGTTCATGTTAACTAAGGTAGTTATCGAATGCTAACTAATGAACAAAAGTGTTACCATTTTTTCCTTGTTTTCAGGTTGTCCGCTTGTGGAAGGTTCCTTAAGAGCATCCCAGTCCATTTAAGAGGACGTCAGAGGATTGTGTCCAGACGGATTTGTTGTTCTGTGCTTCGTTAATGCTGCGTATATGTCCTCCAAAGGGTGTATTTCACGAATGGTGCTGACCAAGGCTGTATAAAAATGAAAAGGTACAAAGCAAAAGTGCTAAGTTGCAGATATCGTACACACTGCAATGTTGATCTGCACTACAACCGCCTTTATTACATTTTGTTTGCATGATTGTGTCTGTTGAATACAAAAACCTACGAGGATTAACAAAGTGATTACTGTAATTTAATGCTCAGAAGAGGACTGACAATATTTATATTCCAACTTAAATAAAACTGTGAATTAGAGCCCAGCCGATAAAGGAATTTGAAGGCCGATACCGATACAAATATTTGTTGGTTTTAAAATCCGATATATCGGCCGATATTTTTATTTCAGAAACGCGCAACAAAACATTAACAGATTTCCCTAACATTAGTTATTTGTAGTTATTTATGAGTTTTAACTAAAATAATTTGATAATTTATTTTAAAAAGAAACTTGTTTCTTTTATTGTCACAACAGAACAGACTGATGATAGTGGCATTAGCTTGCTTTGTGGTTAGCTAGTCTATGATGAGCCATAATTTAGCAATGCATTTAGTATGTCATACTGCAAATTGTAAAATATACATTTTCAATATAACAGGCCAAGGAGAGATTATTCATCTCATTGCTATAACTGTCACGCGCTATTAAAGAAATACTTCAGTCACATTGTCAAAAGTTAAAAGGACAGTCAGTCGACTACACTGTAACAACGTAACGTAACTATTACTAGCTAATTCCGCTTCACTCGCGGCTTTTTTAACAGCAGCAAAACACTCATGACATGGTTGAAGCGTGTTTCCGTTTTTATTTTATTTTTTGAAATATTAATTTATCGGCCATCATAACTGCTGATACCGATAGTTTGGAAAATGTCTAATATCGGCCGATAATATCGGCCTGCCGATATATCGGTCTGGCTCTAATTTCAAATCTAATTTGAAGCTGGTGTCTGTCTCTTCACGTATTATAAATGTAGTCGTCCCTACAGGATGACATTTGTACCTACGCTTTATAAATGTCTACTGAATCCAAAATAGTCGATCTTTATCAAATCTAGTTTGAATCCGATTTGAAGCTGGTTTACACTGATTTATTGTAAACGTAGTTGCCACTACAGGATGACACCTGTACCTACACTTTATGGTTGGCTACTGAATCCAGAATAGTCCGATTAAATGCTCAGAAGCGGAGTGACAACCATATTTAGATTCAGTGTGAACACGTTCCTATCTGTCAAATCTAGATCTGATTTGAAGCTGGTTTCTGCCACTACACTGATTTATTGTAAATCTTGTTGTCACTACATGTACCTAAACTTTATGAATTGCAACTGAATCAAGAGAATTCAGATTAAATGCTCAGAAGCGATGTGACAACCATATTCAGTGTGAACACAACTCGAACCGAAAATAAGTCTAATCTAATTTGGCTCTGAATTGAAACTGGTTTCTGTCTATAGGAGCTGGATGTGTGTGAGCAGAAAATGACGGGGGGCAGTGAGAGTGCAGCAGGGGAAAAAGATGGAGGTACGGCGCTCATCGCTCAGATCCCGGTTGGCTGGCAGAGGAAAGTGGGAGATGGGCTTGTGTCTTACATCAGGTACGTCTGCACTGTCACGTGTTTGCTGTTCTTCTCAAATGTGAACAGTGTTTCTATTAAAAGGTACATGGGGAACATTTTTCACCAAGCCTGACAATGATGATTACGCACAGATGTGTGTGAAATGAATCACCCCAGCAAACACATGCAAGTGCGTTTAGCTTTCATGCTAGGGTTTCTGGTGCGGAGTGTGTTTGACATTAGGGCATTATTTTGTATGTTGACTTTGGAGTCATCTGAAGTCCTGATATGCAAGATTACAGTTTATACTACAGGGCTGAAGAATGCTTGAATCTGATTGGTTGAAGAACGTGTGCAATTATTTTCAGGGAAACGCACAGATAAAGATCATTACAGATCCATATCACTTCGCCAAATCATTTCAGTTATTTCAAATTTCCTTACAGCCGATAAGAGCAAAACCCACTTTGACACTGACCAAGCAAATAAATGTACAGTGATGTGAATAAGTTTGGACACCCATGCTAAAGTTGCCTAAAAAGAGGAATAAAAAAAATCATCTTTTGGATATTGATCTTAATGCCTTAATTAAAAAAATTAGGAATAATCAAACCTTTTAAGGACACCAATTTTCTTTGTGAATGAATAATGTCTCATAAATAAATAAATGTTTTTCCTTAAAATACAGGGTGCAGGACACCCCTATGTTAAAATCCCATAGAGTCAGGCAGATTTTTATTTTTAAAAGCCAGATATTTCATGGATCCAGGATAATATGCATCCTGATAAAGTTCCCTTGGCCTTTGGGATTAAAATATCCCCACATCATCATCACACACCTTCCACCACACCGAGAGATTGGCATGGTTTTACTTCAGTTAGCCTAATAGCTGGTTTGATTTGCATTGAAAGATGATCTTATGGAAAGTACCCCATGCCAATCTCTAGGTGGGGTGGATGGTGTGTGATGATGATGTGGGGATATTTTAATATATATTAAAAATATATTATCCTGGATCCATGAAATAACTGGCTTTTAAAAATAAAAATCTGCCTGACTCTATGGGAATTTAACATAGGGGTGTCCTGACTTATACACCCTCTATTTTAAGGAAAAACATTTATTTATTTATGATTCATTATTCATTCACAAAGAAAAGGTTGGAGTTTTCCTCATTTTTCTAATTAAGGCATTAAGATCAATATCCAAAAGATGATTTTTTATTCCTCTTTATAGGCAACTTTAGCATGGGTGTCCAAACTTATTCACATCACTGTAGGATAAAAATGTCAAATTATTATTTTTTTTTACCAGGAATTAAGTTTTATTATGTACTTATACGGACACTCATAAATGGGGACATTTAATATTCAACAATATTAATGGTCTGTGTTGTATTATTTTCATGTTATCACTGTGAAGCTGCTTTGAAACAATCTGTATTGTAAAAAGCGTTATATAAATAAATGCATACAGAACAGACACATAATTACATTTTGGATTAAGTTGAAATTAGTCCTACACACAGGAGCTTTTTTATGGATGAAATATGACGCGTGATTCTGAACAATGTGTTGAGGTGTAGTAACTGTAGTAAAAGCGTAAAACATTACTCTGGTCCATTCAATTATTAGAAAATTATAAAGCGGTGTGGCCACGTTACCACCTCAGGTGTGCATTATTTTCTAAAAGTTATCAAATTTGCCATTGTTACTTGTCAGATCTGTCAAACTATGTCATATCAATCTTTCTTCAGCCCGAGTGGTACAGTCCTTCGATCTGTGGATGAGGTGAGGGTGTATCTGCGGACAGACGGCACATGTAAGTGTGGTCTCGAGTGCCCGCTTGTCCCAAATAAGGTGAGGTCAATATTCAGCCTCCTCATTTATGATGTTTCCAGTGCAAGCTTGATTTGCAAATTATGTTTTTCAGTCCTTCCAGATTGTTGCAGGAAAAAATCCTTGATTATGCGGCCCGTTTTCTTAAATGCGATGGAATATGTGGGATGTTTATGCGATTAAATTGCGGGAATTGCAGCTTAGTACTACCTTAAAGGGTTAGTTCACCCAAAAATGAAAATGATGTCATTAATGACTCTCCCTCGTGTCGTTCCTAGCCCGTCATCCAAGTTGTCCATGTCTTTCTTTCTTCAGTCGAAAAGAAATTAAGGTTTTTGATGAAAACCTTCCAAGTTTTTTTTTCCATATAATGGACTTCAATGGGGTCCAAATGGTTCACAGTCCAAAAGAGAGTTTCAGTACGTCTTTAATCGACACCAGACGATGAATAAGGGTCTTATCAAGCAAAATGAACAAATCTTTTTCCACGTCAATTCGTTCATTTCGCTCATTGAATGAACCAAATGACTCGGAAAAAGATTTGTTCATTTTGATTTTGATGAATGAGTTCGAACAGGAGAGTCACGAACGCGCATCACAGAACAGAGCAAGGCGAGCATTTGAGCTTATAAAACTTAAACTTTTCTATTTATTTATTAAATGACAGCTCGTTTCGCATGATAAGACCCTTATTCATCGTCTGGAATCGTTTAAAGTCCTTTGAAGCTGCACTGAAACTCTCATTTGGACCTTGAACTGTTTGGACCCCATTGAAGTCCATTATATGGAGAAAATCCTGGAATGTTTTCATCAAAAACCTTAATTTCTTTTAGACTGAAGAAAGAAAGACATGGACATCTTGGATGACATGGGGGCGAGTAAATTATCAGCAAAAGCTTTTTTAAAAGTGAACTATTCCTTTAACTTCTCATCTTGTGTTATTTCAGAGCTTAATAAACACATCAAACTTACAAAACATTGAGTCAAACAAGTTCTGTAGCTTTACAAAATGAATATGCTACAACTTCTGTAAAAAAATGAATGAATAAAAAATAAATAAATACAAAGTGTGCTCCGGTTCGATGACGTTCACAGTGTCTAATTACATCACTTCATAACGTTCCCATGGCAACAGGGGGAAACGGCTGCTTTTGTGTGACGCGAACGCAACATTTTCAACTTTCTGCTAAGATTTATGTTACTTTTTTTGCAACGAAAATGCGAGGATTATGAAATCATGCAAGCCTCGCATATTTTGCCTGGAAATCGGCAATTAATGCGGCTGAAATTGCTGCGTATTTGGAAAATTCGAACCCTGCATAAATATGTGGACTGATTATGCACTGAATCATGCGATCGCATAATCATTTTTTTTCCTGGAGGGACTGGTTTTAATGATTGCAGTTATGTTCGTAATGCAATGCTGGCGTACTGAATTATGAAACTGATTTGTAAAACCATAAACTATGTTGTTTCAGTGTCCGCTCATTATCATCTTATAAATAAACTTGTAGGTTATCCAGCTATTCCATGCATACGGAAAGTTTGCTTACTGTGTGCATTAGAAATACGTCAGAAATAATAAGAAGAGTGGCCATGCAATTCTGAACAGAGTCTGCAACTGTATTTCATGCATTGAAATAAATGTCATTTTAAATCAACACAGGTCTTTAATTTCGACCCTGCTGCGATGGTCCAAGTTCCTGGTCATCAATCGAGTAAAGTAGAGGAAGACATGACCAAACTCTGTAACCATCGCAGGAAAGTTGATGCCATGGCAGCATTATGCCAAAGCAGGCAACCCTCCCAACCCCTCCCGCCGGCTCAAGCCACAGGTACTGCGTCTTAATACACACACTATTCCAATACACTTGCTTTTTAGAAGGAATTTTACAGTAATTGATGTGATTTCTCATATTTTGGTTTGTTCTTACAAATTGAGGGGCGAGTTGAGCTGATTATCTGATTGATTCACTTTTATTGAACCCAGAATATTCCTTTAATGGTTTGTCTTAAAGGTGTAGTTCACTTTTAAAAAAAATTTTGCTGATAATTTACTCGCCCCCATGTCATCCAAGATGTCCGTCTTTCTTTCTTCAGTCGAAAAGAAATTAAGGTTTTTGATAAACTTTCTCCATATAATGGACTTCAGTGGGAACCAAATGGTTCAAGGTCCAAGAGAGTTTCAGTGCAAACTGTTCAAAGGGTTTTAAACGATTCCAGACGATGAATAAGGGTCTTATCAAGCGAAACGATCACTCATTTAAAAAATAAATAAAAAAGTTTAAGTTTTATAAGCTCAAATGCTCGCCTTGCTCTGCGCGTTCGTGACTCTCCTGTTCGAACTCGTTCTTCAAAATAAATGAATTTTTATTCAAAATGACTCTAGCTGATATTCAGCAATATTATTAATTAGGGCTGATATTAATCGATTCTCATTTTTACGAACCGATATCGATTCTTAAATCTCAAGAATCGATTAGTCATCCTGTTTCATTTGAATGAATGGGACATTGTATCGCGGCTGCGCGCATCCAAAAAATCACAATAATCTTTGTCCTTTGTTACTATTGATATGAAACAAAGTCTCAATTTTCAAATTACGTCCATTTTCTTTAGAAATTCAAAAACATAAATAACGTTTTGGCGCTGTGGCTCAAGAGAAGCAGCAGCGCTGATCTCTCTTCCGGCTTAATAATACCAGTCACAGCGCCAAATAAACATGAATGAGCATCTGAAAGTGTGTTAAAGATAGAGTACAACTTATCCAAATCCGTATCATGTCACATTGATTCGCTCAATCAGCGTTTCAACCGTGGAAAGACGTCAGTTAAACAGCTCGTAATCAATGTCATCGTCATATTTACCTCAGAAAACCCACATAAACTCGTTCGTCAGCTAGAAAAAATAACTCTAGAGAGGAGCATTTTGCTAAATATATACACCATATTACATATGCATTATAATCTTAATGTTCTTCAATATTTAATGCATATTTGAATTAATCTGGCAAGTTTTTATGACAGCCACCATTTCAATGTTTATATTTCATATGATCTTCTTATTATAAAAATAAATAAAAGTGTAATTTGAGTGTTTGTATAGCCACAAAACAGTTCATTATTACCTTCATATTAGGCTAATGAAGTCTATAGGCTACAACTAGACTCCCATAGTTTACAGCATTAGTTAAGAGATTTGATTCCCTTGAGAAAATTTGCCATTGTAACTGATATCCAAAATAATCAATATTGAAACAAATCGAATCGAATTGTGAAATTTGTGTCAAAACCCACCCCTATTATTGATCTGCTGCGTTGACACCAATATATGAGAACTGAGCTGGCTATATATAAAAATTAACTAAATTAATAACGTTTTTACAACAAAAATGAAACTTCACTGAAAGTTAACCTGGAATGTGATGCTATTTTCTTCTGGAAACAAACTTTGTTGCATTGTTTTCATCTCAGTAAAGCTGCTTTGAAACACTCTATATATCACAATATGACAAAACGGTTACGTCTCTAACAGTGTGCCTGTTTGTTTAAGGAGGTGTTGTGTGTTCAGCGGACGGCAGAGAGCTGAGAGGATCGATTGTGGCTCATGGAGACGGCGCCCATTGCACTTACCCTCCTCCAAGACACAACCAGCCCATATCCAACATTGGCTTTCCTCTGTCCACTCCTCGCTCTGTTCTGCAGCAAAACGGTTCCCCTATCTCACGGACCCCAGAACAGGGTTCCCCTTTAAAGAAGCCCCAAACGCCATTGGCATATACGAAACAGCCGTGGAGTCCATCGATCTCCCAAAACATCCCTCAGAGGACAGTGCATAACCCCGCTTCTCCAAGCCACTTAAAGCCAAGTGTGCATCCTCCAGACCCTTCAAACTCCTTTTCCTTATCGCCCTCTTCATCCGTAGCTCTCACTGGGCGACATTCACAAGGAGTGAGCGCTCTGTCACCCTCACGTACCCTAGACACCTTCTCACCCCACCAACGCTCCCGCCACTCCTCGACGTCTTCGCTCTCAGATCACGGGACCCTCAAACCGTTGAAAGCCACCATGCCGTGCTCCTCTCCCAAGCTCCCTCTCGCGCCTTCCAGTCCGTGTAGTCGCTTGGAGGGAATTCTTCAGCACTACAAAGACTGTAGCACGCCCAATGCTAACCAAAGCAACCATCTGTCGTTGGTGCATCCCAACGTTGGCGACAAGAGGAACGGGATGAGTTCTGCTCAAGGACAAGAATTGCTTGGCGTTCCTTTAGGACAGATTCTCAACCAACAGAAGAACTCTTTCCCGGCTAGCAGCCTTCTTTCCGCCGCCGCTAAAGCTCAGGTGGCCAACCAGAAAACGCCCGACGCGCTCGCCACACTCCCTCTTGCTAGCCTGGACAAGGAGCAACACTCAAAGGTATTGATTAGCACTTTAAACAGTAGCGTCCACCCAACACCCGCCAGAACGCAATCCCTCACCGCTTTGTTGCTCCCGGCTTCGCCCGCTGAGAAAAACCTGCGGCGCAAACGGCAAAGGCATTCGCCCTCACATTTGGGTCGGAGTCCGCCGATGCTCATCTCCCCAACGTCTCCTCCCGTACCTCTCTCAGACAACCACCGGGTGTCCGCCGCTCCTCCGAACGCCTCCTTCTCGAACAGTTCTCTTAGGTCGCAGGATTCGGAGGAAGGAAGGAAACCCGGACTTGGTAATTCAATCCCACTTTCCTCTCCGTCTCCATCCCAGCCGCTTTCCGCTCTACTTCAGCTTCTTAGCATGCAAAGCGCAACCCAGCAAACCATTCCTGGACACCGGCACACTTCACCCAGACCCATCACGCCACAGACGCCCCATTGCGAAGGACGAGTACCCAACCCGCAACCTCAACCCCAAAGCACAGTGCCCATTCCCGAAACTCCATCCCAGCTGCCCCAGTCCCAACCCTTTACCTTAATGGGTGACGAAACAACCTTGAACCTCAAAACCGCCTCCAGCAACTCCTTCCTGAACTTGAGCCAGCCCCACGCGGGCACCACGCCGGACCTCAACAGTTCGATTCTCAGCATGATGAACCAGATGTCCTCGACCTCCTGCTTCCCGGAGAAGAGTCATGAGTCCAAAACGACGGAGGCTTGCCCTGACCACAATACCTACCAGTCTAATCACAACCAGGCTGTGGAAAGTAAAGGTAAGACTTCTTATCTAGGATTTATTTAATGTACTAGGATGTACATAATCTAATAATCAAAACTCTCATGAGGACAAAACAAAGTTAAAGGAGAAAGGAGGAAATACTCAGCAATGCTGTCCACTTATTAACTTACACATGTGTTTATCTCAAGTTAAGAATAATGTTATGCTTTAAAGGGTACATATCATGCTTTTAAATCATTAATTTTTACATATAAATCATACTGTTGTGGTCTATATAAAGCATAACTGCAATGCTTGGGTCTGAATTCCTCATTATTATAGCTCCACAAGCCCCTTTTCGGATGTGCGTCTGTGAGCGACCCGTTTCGAAGCGGCCCCTTTAAATAAAAAGGAGATGCGTCACACCCCGCCCGCTCTCCGGGTCGATGAGTTCACGGTCGGTTCAACTCCCCGCGTTCGGCCATTATTGTAGTTTGATTAGAGATATACGATTACTATAGCTTCAAAGAACATTTTTATTCACACGTTAATAAAATGTCAACAACAGAAGACTTGTCCATCAAGCCTTACATATTCGAGCCAGAGCGAGCGAGTCGATAAAGACGACGACGAACCTGCAGAACAACGTCTTCATATGGATATATTGGTATGTGAGTTAACTGTTTTGTGTTATTAGTGAAAGTCGACTATTTCTCTTGTTAAAACAAGATAAATAACTACGGTTTAATCTTACCACTAAAAATCTGTATTGATAATATGATACGTTTAGAAAAGCATCAGAAAACAACGCAGCTAAATGACCATTGATGAAACTCAAGAACAATAATACTGCAGACGTGTAACGTTACTTCAAAACCAAAACAAAGAAAGACAAAGGTACTGCTAAACCACGACCACCATGTGTTTTAAGAAAGTAAAGTGCTTTATTTTTATTAACGATATTTACAGCTTATCGAAATGCTCTGTTCGTCGTCTCCAAAGATAGAAGGAATTTACCCCTCATTCAATCGGCAAACCCTTCTGTATAACGTTACTGGCGGAGGTTGTTGAAGTGGGAATCAAACAACCGAACATTTTGACTTGCCCTCTCGTAACTTCGGCATCATTGAGCTCGGACTACAAAATCGGAGCGAGAAATAATAATGGCGGATTGCTCGAAGTGTTGGGCCGGTAGTCGATGTCCTTATTTGTCAGTTCCGCTGCAAATACGGTGACGTGATACGTCATAGAAAACAGAAAAATCTGAACAGGTTGAAAAATATATACGAATATAAACGAAGCACCTGAAGAGAATAATTTCATCTTTTCTGTACTTATAAACACTCCAAATATACAACAAAATGCAAGTGGATTTTGCATGATATGTGCCCTTTAAGAACGTTTTCGAAGAGCTTTTGTTTGGGCTTGTCCGTCTCACCCTTGTGTTTTCTTGACAGGTCCCGTAGAGACGATGGATCACTCGGACACAAGATTGCTGGGTGGTTGCGATCCCGACCACAGCCTCTCCCTATCCGGCTCCTCGTCTTCCGAGCTTTCCAACCTACCGCTAGCGGAGGCTTTTCCCTTCATGACCCAAGAACAGCTCCTCCAGCTTCTGTCCTCCAACGCCGGTCTACCTTCCCTTCTTCCACCCTTCCTCGGATCCCTACCTTTAGGACTCTGGACGGGCACCCAATCCCAGCATCCCCAGCCAACCAGTGGCATCCTAAACCAGGGCGCTCATCTCAACGTCATAAACCAGGGCGATCTTCCTCTCAACCTCGTGAGCCTTTTAAACCCCCCGGGTTCGGCTCCGGCTCCTCCTCCGGTTGCAGGGATTGAAGGTGGTGAGAAACCCCCAGGGCTTCAAGCCCTCCTCATGGCTTCTTTGCTTCTCGGGCAGAATCCAGCCGCCATGTTGCCCTTGCCCGCGCTCAACCTCGAGCTTCCCACGCCTCAACAGCAGGTCTTTCCGGATGGAGTGTCTCTGGAGAAAACACCGACTCTTCTGGACTCAGTTTTGATGGGGCCGGGGCTCCTGGAGGCTCTTCAGACTCTTCAAGCAGACGGCCAGTCGCTTCTTCTTTCCGCACCTCTCACTCCTCCCGCCTTCTTGTCCCTCAATCCCGCTCTTCTGGCCGCGGCTCTCGCCCAGACCGAACCCCTTACCAACCACACGCCTTCCCCCCCGCCTCATTCTCAGGTATACACACAGGCCAACACAAATTGCATGCTTCGCTACACGTGCACATACAGTCCGCATGCCTCTGAATGCTGTGTTGGCGACTACGGCAGGGTTTCCCAACCCTAGTGGTAGACGGTGGAACTGCATGTGATTTGTGAGATTGACTGTAGTCAATAAATGCATCCCTTAAAACTCTTAAAAATGACATATTTAAATGCATTAAAATAGCTTCAATGTAACTCGACACCCTTGCCTCATTTAGTATATGAATATGCAAATGAGCCCCGCCTCACTCACTCAGAGATCCACTGGTTGTCGATCACACGTTGATCTGATTGGTTACAAGGTCGTTTGTGAGCGTGTTTTTGAGAACCGTGTTCAGTTTTAAGGAGGAAATACTGTGTCCACTTATCAACTTACACATGGTGTGTGTTAAAGCGGATTAAAAACACCACACACACACACATAAACAACATTTAAACGTTGGATTTACACCACAGGGGGACTTTAATCTAATTGTTGAATTATTTTTAACCTCAAAAATCAACAGGGAAAAAATAGAAATTCATATTCTTCGCATTCATGACACTTATGCACATTTTAACTCCAATCTTCCACATTGTCAGCAGCCTATTATAGTAATGCAAAACAAATAATGATGCATTATTTTAATTGTAATTTGAAAAACTTGTATCTGAATGGCAATGATTGGCATTAATTACAAACAACCCTTTAATAAAAATAGCCTTCATTTTTGATGTAGTCTAGTGTGCTTGTGCATTTAGAGTGTGATTTAGTCTATTAAAATGCATTTATTATGACCTCAATATTTAAGATAAGGGGGCAACAATACCTATGTATGTCTTTTAGATTAAATCATTTAATATAGTTAATCAATATCACACGAAGTGCTGTTTAGTTTTTTCTCCAAATTTCAGCACGATTAAAAATGTGATCTTGATTTTATACAACAGTTAATTAAATAAATATGAAGAATATTAATTAAATATTTCTATTTGCTCTGTCCACGGCAGTCCTAAACATGCCAACACAATTTTTTAATAGTCTAAAAATCCCCAAAAATAATGCAATATCATTTTTTTATCATTTTTATCCATTTTTGTTTTATAAGTTGTGTCAGAAATATACATCACAGATTCAATGAACTATATTACAAACAGATATCATGTTTTGTCGATGACCTCTATTTTAGTGACATTTTCTCACCCAGAATGCTAAATTATAGGGGTCAAATATCAGGAAAGCCCAGCTTGCAATGTTTGAGAATCCCTGTCCACTATGGGGTTGTTGATTTTCCTCGTGGTATTTTCATATGGAATATAGTACATGCATCTTGTGCAATACATATATGAATGTGTGTGTGTGTGTGGCTTTAGGAGAGTCTGTCCAGCTCTGCTCTAGTTTCTACCTCGGTGTCCTGCGGCCCAGAAGTGTGTGACCCGCTGGACGAGCAGGACAAGAACAACACCCAGACACCTCATTTTTTGCCGCATCTACTCGCCCCTGGGGTTCTGGGTAAGTGGATCAGGCTTTAATCCAAATACTAAATGAACACACATTCTTGTGCTAATACATCATTACAATCGAAATCATATCAATGCACTGTGAAATAACATGAACAATTGTATTTTCATTAACCCTCTAACCGTATTCACTTTATAGCCCTTAATCCTGTAATTGTGGACAAATGTGGACACAGAGGACTTTATTTATCATAAATGTTATCACTGTCTTTGATAAAGTTTTGTCTATCCATTTATGGTGTTTTTTTATTTTTTGGGGGTAATTGAATTTATTTACTTCAAAAAGTATCATATTTTCTATGTAAATTATGCTTTTTATTTTATTTTTTTTACTTTTTTTTTTAACTACATTAAAATATCATTCCAATAAGTTCTTAGAGCTCAAACCTAAAGATGACGTGACTTTGCTGTCACCTGGTGTCTTATTTTGGCTAAATTACAGTTTTTCCCATTCATTTCTATGGGTGCCCATTTTTGACCCAAATACAAGATTTATTGTTAACATTGTAGAATTGAGTCAAAAAAACATTGTGTGCGTTCAGGAGGCAAACTTAGGAAAAGTAGCCAAGTCTTGTACCGCTCAGATCAAGGGAAATATTTTTAAAAAATAAAACAAAACTATTTTTCCCACATTTGTCCAGAATACGGTTTTAGGGTTAACTAACTATAGGAAATATATTTTTACCGCATTTTTGAATCTTTGTTAATGTTAACTTTATTTATATAGCGCTTTATACTGTGCAGATTGTTTCAGATGATAACAGGAAATGATGCATTTCGTCTGAAGTCCGTTCAGTGGATTCAGTTCTGTTGTAAAGTGCATCAAGTATCAAATTGGCTCATTTCATCTATAAAGCAGTGATGTCATCGTCCATCTCAGTTCAGTTCTCATACAGAAGCGTTCGCTCAGTCAGATCAATAATACTGTTGAATATGAATTTACACACGGTGTGTGTTAAAGCATGTTAACATACACACATAAACAACATTAAACGCTGGATTTACACCACGGGGAGACTTTAATTGTCCAGGAACCCAAACTCCATCAGGTGACAGAATGGAGAAAAACCCAGTTTGCCCAACGAACGAACGAACAAACACGGGTTCGTTATGAATCAGGTTGCTTCACAACTCATTAGCATTCAGATATTTATCCAGTTCCTTTTACTTAAAGATGGATTCATCATGCTGGTTTGGAGCTGAAGCTGGTCATAGGGTCTGTGTGAAGGACCGGTCTGGTTCTTGTGTCTGTTGTGGTCGTGTCTAGATGCAGGTCCACATCTGATCTGGATACGGGCCGGATCTGGCTGACTACGGTAACCTCGGGATAAGGATGAGCGGACAGGCTAACGTCGCGTGTTATAGGAACAGCCTAGAATCATTTAACTGATTTGAATAGTAGAAATTGATAATGCCCTATGTGTGTGTGTGTCAGGTTAAAGAGATGTGCGTTTAGTCTAGACTTGAACTGACGGAGTGTGTGTGCTTATCGAACAATGCTAGGAAGACTGTTCCAGAGTTATGGTGCTAAATAGGAAAAGGATCAGTTGTTGATTTTGATATTCTGACTGAAATGCGTTAAGAGCTCGCTCAAATACTGCGGAGCTAAAACATTTAATGCAAAAAAACATTTAAATAGTATACAGTGTTTAATAGGAAGCCAATGCTGTGTTGACTGAACTGTTAACTTTTAATAAATTGTCATGATTTAAATTAATTAGATATGCTTTTTAATTACTAATTTTTAATTTAACCATTAAATCGAGTCCAGAATTTTTTTAATTAATTTTGAAACTAAGAACGATGCTTTATTTAATAAATTTCACCTTTTATTTCAGTTTTAGTTTTTCAGTAATGTACGTGTTTTTTCACATTTCTTTTAGCTTTGTTTCAGAAATTATGTGGTTTTGTCATTTTTCTTTGCTTTTTTTCTCCATAATTTTGTTGTTTTTGTTAATTTTTTAATTAATTTAATTTAATTTTTTTAAATGCTTTTTTTTAACATTTTTTTTGTAATTTGGCGCGTTTTAAAAAAACAAAAAACACATTTTTAGTTTTCATTTTGTTTGTTATTTTGTGATTTTGTCATTTTTTGACACGTTTTTGTTTTTAAATTTCAGTTAAAGTAACTGTTCAAATTAAATAAATTTTTTGTTTGTTTTTGTGTTATACGATGCTTTATTTAATAGCTTTTTGAATGTGACCTTTTTATTTCAATTTTAGTTTTTTAGTCATTTACGTGGTGTTTTTTCACATTTTTTAGCTTCAATTTTGTTTCAGAAATTGTGCTTTAGTCATTTTTCAGTTTTTTTCATAATCTTGTTTTTGAATTTATTTTTTTTAAACCATAAGTAGAAAATGTCATAACTTTTTTTATTTATTATTTTATTATTATTTTTTACTCTTAATGAATGAATCTCAATGAATCAGACATGCTTTTTTATTACCAACATTTAATTAAACCATTAAATCTGAGTCCATAAAAATTAAAACGGAATCCAGTAAAAAGCGGAATGGAATAAACGGAGTTGATAAGCCTCTATAAGCAGTCTGTCGTCACATGATGTTTGGTGATGTACTGATGGATGAATGCTTGTCGTCTTGAACGTCTCGATTTGCTTCAGCTAAGATCTTCAGAGTCAGAATGTGTGTGTGTGTGTTTGAGCTGCTAATGATAGTGTTTCTCTTGCTCTCAGGCGACCTCACAGCTCTGGGAAACATCAACAGTCTTCATAGTTTACTGGGAGCAGGACCTCTGTTGCTGCCGCAGGGCCCGCCTCTGAACCAAACGCCCCTCAACCCGCTCACCTGCCTACAGGTACACACACACACACACACACACTGCTAGTCTCTGAACCAAATGCCCCTTCAAATTTCTTTCTTTAGTATTGTCAAAATATGAATAATGTGTTCTCGCTGTCAGCTGACGATCATGGGAGAGAAGCCAGCGAGTCTCCACCACACGTCGCCTCCGTCACAAGACGAGCTTCCAGCGGCTCAGATATCCCAGAATGCCTTGCTCCACACCGCCGGTCAGCAGAGAGAGGGTTCTGGTTCTGGGCTGTTCGACCCGTACGGTTCCTTCATGGACACCATCTACACCTCGTTCCTGCAGGTCAGCGAGCGCGACTCGGACTCCACGCCGCTGTCGTACCCGGAGCTGCCGCCGGCCCTCAGTCCCCGCCGGGCCTGTTCGGTCCACAACCCGGACCTGACCCGCCTCGGCATGGACTCGGCCCAGTCTCCGGCCCGCGGCACACCGAAGCTCAGCGAGGAGCCCTCCACGGCGCCGCCCTGCAGGCCGCTGGGGGCCGACGCTCTGTCCGACATCATGGAGGAGGCCAAGACCGACGGGTCCACGGTGTGTTACAGCAACGGGATCGGGTCGGGAACGGGCGGAAGAGCAGACCGGGACGAGGAGGAGGACGAGGCAGACGAGGATAAGGAGGAGGGACGAAGAACGCAGGGCTGTTTGAGTCCGCCCGTCGATGACATCAGCAGCAGAGAGGCGGAGCAAGTGAGGGTGAGCCTGGTTTTGTTATTTATGTGCTATTATAGTGTTTTTTATTTAAAAAATTATGTGTTTTGGTCATTTTTTTATGGGTTTTTTTTTTACGTTTTTAAATTTCAAAATAATTTTTCAAATTAAATAAAATTTTTGTTTGTTTTTCGTGTCATATTATGCTTTATTTAATAGGTTTTAAATGTCACTTTTTATTTCAATTTTAGTTTTTCAGTAATGTACGTGTTTTGTCACATTTTTTTTTCAGAAATTATGTGCTTTTGTCATTTATCTGTTTTTTTCTCCATTATTTTGTTGTTTGTCAATTTTTTAATGCTTTTTTTTACATTTAATTTTTTTTTAGTTATTTGGCATGTCACATTTTTAGCTTTAATTTTGTTTCAGTTATTTTGTGATTTTTGTCATTTTTTTACACGTTTTTGTTATGTTTTTAAATTTCAGTTGGTAGTTTTTCAAATTAAATAAAATTTTTGTTTGTTTTTGTGTTATACGATGCTTTATTTAATAGCTTTTTGAATGTCACCTTTTTATTTCAATTTTAGTTTTTCAGTCATTTACATGGTGGTTTTTTTTTTTTCAATTTTGTTTCAGAAATTGTGCTTTTGTCATTTTTCTTTTTTTTCATAATCTTGTTGTTTTTGAATTTATGATTTTTTTTAAACTTTTTTACATTTAATTATTTTTGGTTATTTGGTGTTAAAAAAACAAATAAACATTTTTCCCCATTTTTAACTTTAATTTTATTTCAGATAAAATTTTGTGATTTTTGTCATTTGTTTTTTATAAGTTGTTTTTTTTTTCAAAGTAAGAAATTTTTCAAATTGAACTTTTTCCATTTAACTTTGTCTAATTTTTGTTTGTTTTTCTTGTTATACTTTGCTTTATTTCTACAACTGAAAGGTTAAACGCTTCTAATAGTAAAAGATGATGTAATGTTACAGACTGACCAATAGCAGTGACCGATCTTAATTTCGCTGGTGTTGTTTGACAGACTGAAGACTTGCATGCAGGAGCCAGAAGGGGGCGCAAGAGGAAGCAGACGTGAGTGCATCTGGAGCTCGGCATGTTCCTTCACTCGTGTTGTAGTGTGTGTGTGTGTGTGTGTGTGTGTGTTTACTCTCTCCTCTTCCTCAGACTGCAGAGAAGTCCAGACCTGCCGGGCGGCATCGACAGCATCATCGAGGAGCCCGCCGCCACGGTGAGACACACACACACACACACACACCTTACACTGTTTGAATGCACATGTACATTAATCAGTCTCAAGTCTTAAAAAAAATTATATTCAGTTGTATCAAATTTAAGGGCATAAAAAGTCTTAAATAGTAGCATTACATACTTAAAAGGTAAACGTATTTTTTCCATTAGCTTTTGGTGAGTTTCTTTTTTTTTTTTTTTGAGAAGTTTTTTTTTTCATGAGGTCTTAGAATTCTTAAATTTTAGAGGTTTTTACATTTCAAGAGTTTTTTATTTTTTGTTTTTAAATTTCTAGAATTCCTAAACTTGTGGTTTTAAAATTTCGAGTTATTAATCTTAAGTGTTAATTTATATTTTATCATGTGTTTTTTTTTTAATTTAAAAACTTAAATTGAATACGTTTTTAAATGTTGATTTCAAGATGTTTTTAAATTTAAGAGGTTTTTATATTTAAGAGGTCTTAATTTTGAGAAAGGAAAAGCAGGAATGTCCACATGGCGTAATGATGACGCTCAAGAACGCACTAAAGCCAAGTCGTGTGTGTTGTGTTGCAGATCCCGTCGTCGAGGCCGGCCCGCTCCACCCGAGGGAAGAGACGCCGCGTGGTCCGATAGATCTGACTGTACGGTACCACCAACACCAGCACTGTTGCCACGGCAACGCCGTCACTGTTGCCACGGCTACACCATCACAGCGTTTGACTGAGCCACACTGTGAAGAAGAGTCTCCCATGATCTCGCTCCTCCGTCGTGTGTGTGTGTGTGTTCGTCCAATGACTTCTGTTACCATTCTCGACCATTGTTACATGAACGCGTTCTTTTACCATCAGAGGGGTTTTACTAACGAGAACTATTGTTAAATTGTCGCACGAATCCATCAGTTTAGGAATAGCTGTTTGTTTACCAGTTCTTTATAATTATTATCTTTCTACATTTGCTTCTCTTGGATGATTGTGATTGACAGCTCTGCCTGGACATTCACTCCCATCAGTCTTTAGATGCACACGAGTTCATGTTGTCGTCATCAACAAATGACTGCTCGTGTTCCAGAGCCGGAAAACCCCGTCTCTGGGAATCTTTCCAATCGACGGATCATTTTACCCATCATGCACCTCATGAACCACTTTTTAGCATCAAATGCAATTTTGTCACACCGCAAAAAAAAAAAAAAAAAAAAATCTTATTTGGGAATTTTATCTGGTTTTTCAATACAAATATCTAAACATTCTCAGATCAAGATGCATATACTGGAAAAGCTAAATGTATTATAGACATTAAATATATACATGTTTCATATATTGAGAGAAACATTTATCAAAATGAAGCATTTACTATACAGGTGAAACTGGAAAAATGAGAATATGGTGCAAAAGTTCATTTATTTCATTAATTCAACTTAAAAGGTGAATATTTAAAACTAAAATATTACATGCAAAGTGAGATATTTCAAGCCTTTATTTGTTATAATTTTGATTATGACTTATAGCTTGTGAAAACCCTAAATTCAAAATTAGAATATTGTGAGAAGATTTTCATATCTGTATCTGCCATAATCATCAAAATTATAACAAATAAAGGCTTGAAATATCTCACTTTGCATGTAATGAGTCTATATAATATATTAGTTTCACCTTTTAAGTTGAATTACTGAAATAAATGAACTTTTGTGCGATATTTAAATTTTTTGAGTCTCAAGTGCAAATAAACATGACATTTCCTTGATGTCAGAAATAATCATGCTTGAAGCAAGAAAAAATATTTGCCAATAAATTTGAACGTATTTGGCAAAAACTCATTTTCCAGTAATCAAGACTCGAGTCTTTTTGCATCTTCAGTAAATGTACCTTGATTTAATAATGTTTAGAAAAATAAGACCGAAATACTGAAGAACATGATTTCTGCAGTGTTAAATGCGGCCCTGCGGAGACACTGAAGCCGTAAACACCCGGTGTCACTCATAACTCATAACGCTTGTCTTTGCTGGGCCGTATATATCAATATCTATATTTTGTAAGTGTGTGTGTGTTCCAGGAGGGCGTGAGTCTAGTGTATTTGTAGGTTTGTAGGGGCTTTAGTCGTGGATGGTGTCGCACAGGACTGTGTTTCCCAGAGCTCATCAACACAGGCACAAGATTATTACTGAATATTTAAAATAATGATTTAATAATGTGGCTGATTATGCAATTTTACTATTGAATTTATGTATATATGTACAGTTTTAGTATTTTATTTTGTACACCTTTTTTTAGGAAAAAATGATCAATTTTGTAAAATATTTCTCCCGCAGAGAAACTTTCCTTTCTCATATTCATGTTTGATTTGTAAAGAAAATACTTTGAGAATTGTGAACAAGTAGCATTTAATTTTTTCTTTTTTTATTGGGAGTTCTTTTTTTTATTTAACAAATTAAAAGGTTTTAAATGATGAAATGTTCTCTTCTGATTATTTCTTGTCCGATAGAGTTTCCGAGTTGGATATTCCTAGTCGGAAATAGGACCTAAATGGCCTCGCATATTTTCTCAAGTACAGCCTCTCAGAATATTTATTACAATTTAATGAATTCATTACATGTAATGCTGCCTTCACATATCATAAATACAAGTTTCCTGGTCAGAAATTTCTAGTCGAAAGTTGGAAATTCCTAGCCAGAAATTGTCCCAGTAACCAGTAAAAAAAGGCATATAAATGTCATATTGTGTTTCATACTCAACACAGATTTGACCATAATATAGATTTTGGAGGAAAAAAACAACAACTCTTGCCATCAACTAAACTAAGCTGGAGAACAAACTAATGTCCATATGAAAATAATAATGAATTACAGCAATGCATTTAACTCAAGTGATTAATATATCAGCATCAGGAAAATCGATTTCTAACCCTGAAAAAGTTCTGCAAAACATTCTCACAAAAACTTTATACACACATGAACATTCAACAACAAACAAAAACGTAGTGTTATAATCTCTGGATAATAAAATGCTTCCAGAAAATGGAGTCTCTAGACCCTTCCAGAGCTGAGATATTGAGATCCCACGAACCCACTATTTTTATAATGGGATAAATGCTACGTGGGATCGCAATATCTCAGCTCTGGAAGGGTCTAGAGCCTCCATTTTGGCACTCAGGTCAAAGTCTCAAAGATCAGAGAAACTCAAAATTTCAACGACAGTGTTACCCCTTTCGTTTTTTTGGGGGGGGTTGAAATTTTGAGTTTCTCTGATCTTCTTGAAACTCTGGATTATTATAGACGGCTGTGAGACTTTGACCTGAGTGCAAAAATGGAGGCTCTAGACCCTTCCAGAGCTGAGATATGGACATCCCGCGTAGCATTTATCCCATTATAAAAATAGTGGGTTCGTGGGATCTCAATATCTCAGCTCTGGAAGGGTCTAGAGCCTCCATTTTTGCACTCAGGTTTAAGTCTCATGCCCCTCTATCAGAATCCAGAGTTTCAAGAAGATCAGAGAAACTCAAAATTTCAACCCCTCCCCAAAAAAACCAAAGGGGTACCACTGTCGTTTTTTTTTTGGATCGAATTTTTGAGTTTCGATATCTCAGCTCTGGAAGGGTCTAGAGCCTCCATTTTTGCACTCAGGTTTAAGTCTCATGGCCCTCTATCAGAATCCAGAGTTTTGAGAAGATTGGAGAAACTTCATTTTTCGCCCGAAAAAAAACCGAAAGGGGTACCACTGTCGTTTTTTTTTTGGGTCGAATTTTTGAGTTTCGATATCTCAGCTCTGAAAGGGTCTAGAGCCTCCATTTTTGCACTCAGGTTTAAGTCTCATGGCCCTCTATCAGAATCCAGAGTTTTGAGAAGATCAGAGAAACTCAAAATTTCAACCCCTCCCCAAAAAATCCAAAGGGGTACCACTGTCGTTTTTTTTTTCGGGTCGAATTTTTGAGTTTCGATATCTCAGCTCTGGAAGGGTCTAAAGCCTCCATTTTTGCACTCAGGTTTAAGTCTCATGGCCCTCTATCAGAATCCAGAGTTTTGAGAAGATTGGAGAAACTTCATTTTTCGCCCGAAAAAAAAAAACCGAAAGGGGTACCACTGTCGTTTTTTTTTTTCGGGTCGAAATTCTGAGTTTCGATATCTCAGCTCTGGAAGGGTCTAGAGCCTCCATTTTTGCACTCAGGTTTAAGTCTCATGGCCCTCTATCAGAATCCAGAGTTTTGAGAAGATTGGAGAAACTTCATTTTTCGCCCGAAAAAAAAAAAACGAAAGGGGTACCACTGTCGGTTTTTTTTTTCGGGTTCGAATTTTTGAGTTTCGATATCTCAGCTCTGGAAGGGTCTAGAGCCTCCATTTTTGCACTCAGGTTTAAGTCTCATGGCCCTCTATCAGAATCCAGAGTTTTGAGAAGATTGGAGAAACTTCATTTTTCGCCGAAAAAAAAAACGAAAGGGTATACCACTGTAGTTTTTTTTTCTGGTCGAAATTTTGAGTTTCGATATCTCAGCACTGGAAGGGTCTAGAGCCTCCATTTTTGCACTCAGGTTTAAGTCTCATGGCCGTCTAT